ACAGCGGGATATGGCGGATTCAGGATCCATGGCCTTGTTTTTTGCCTGGAATTGCGTAAATGTCTCGATCTCGACCCAAAAACAGGCCCGCTCTCGATGTCCTGAATTTTTTAACAACATGCCATAAACAAATGTGTGTGCGCAGATTTTTTCAGGTCACAAACGTCTGGGACAGGCAGCAAATATAGTTCAGTGGCCGTTTTTATGGGCCATCTATGTAGATCTAGGTCTGAGGGTCCTCCAGATCCCGGATTTTATGGCTTACGGCTTTCGGGCTGCCGTTGCCAGGACATGCTATTGCATAACATTGCGTTCGCCATGAGGTCATCGCCGAAACTGCTCTCATTATGTCATAAGCGAGCTAAAACAATGCCAGCCAGGATCAAGGATTCAGACGGGGATCGTAAAATTTGTCATGGCGTGCGCAGTTTGGTTACCTAACCTGAGTCTGAGTCTCGAGAAGAGAATCTCAGGCCTCGGCATTCAACACCTCGTCAAGAGTTTCCTGTTTCCCGGCAAAATCCTTATGAATAAATTCATAAGGATCAAGGTGAATAAATTCACACTACCATATGCCATATTGTACATCCTTCTAACGGTAGCCACATCCGTTCGCTCTGTGAATTTTTAATTACCCAAAGAAAAAAGGGATAGCCGATTCATTAGCCACGTCAAGACAGGTAGCCACAGCCACAGGATTTAGCCTCCCCTGACAATTATTTCCGGCACTCTTTTGTCTTTTCAAACGAACTGGCTTCTTATCGAGATTGGCCTAGCGTTACGCCCACTCAAACTGAAAAAATATAAAAACTGGAGAGAAAATCAGTTTGTTAGCATCTAGTTTGCGGTATGTCTGTGATGATGCACTGGGCACCCACTGTGCACCGAAGGGGGTTCCTCCTCTGACCCTACACGTGTTGCTAGGCCCAAATTCAGGATGCACATGACGCCGTTTGCCTTCCAGGAGTGGCAACTCCTCCTTCCTATTCCTCAAACTTTGTCGGCACAAACAGTGACGATTAAAGAACTGACCAAGAATTGCTGCTCCTGCTGCTGTTGATGTTGATGTTGCTGTTGCTCGAGGAACAAAACGTTGAAACAAAATTAATACCAGAGACAGTCGTAAAAAAGGCAGTATACACAACAACAAGGCATACAAGGCTAAAAAGAAACAGAAACAGACACAGAACAGAACGGATCCTTTATGGCGCAGATTGGGCAGCGAGATTTCAAAAGGGGCGCGTGATCGCCATCAAAATGCTCGTGGAGGCAATTTAAATTGCTGAACCGAGCGGCGCGTGCAGTTTCTGTTCCAGCGATCCGGAGAGGTGAGTCCCAGGTAGAGACACGATCCAGAGATCCACCAGAACCTGCTGCTTTCGGTTTTTAGCTGCTTCTGACCCGATCCCCACTTTCGGGAAAGGTAAAACGAATCACTGAAAGTAATTATGAAAAGAGGGGTCTTACAATTTGTCTTATAAAAGATCATAGTATTTTATGTTTCTAGCTTACTGTCATAATTTTTCTTGAAAAATAAATATATATTTTTTTCAGTGCGTTCATCCCATTTTCGCGTTCTGGGTGTTGAAATATTTCCTCTTTTTCCGTCTGATTGTCGGTCGGTCGGTTTATTTATAACAAAAACCACTGCCAGGAGGAACCCTTGACACTGAAGAGATCCGTGGATCCTCAACTCAAGGTTATGGTCTAGGCAACTAAGTAAGTGTCCAATTTTTCAGCGAAGTCTTTATGCAACTTTGTTTGGTGCTAATTTATAGTGGGCTTGGAGTTTATCCTGCGGGTATTTTTTATAGGGAATGTTTCCTTTGAATTTGTTGGTAATTTACAAAGTATTTACCTAGGAATTTTTTATTTAATTCTAAAATACTTATTATTGTTTTTATATTTTTCTTATTAAATAAAATATTTTCTTTAATTACTTAAACATTTTGAAAATTTAATTTTACCGCCATAGTCAAAGACTATGGTGCTCCTGTATGTAGAAGACCTTCTACTTCTTACATGTAAGATGTAGAAAGTACTGTCGATTGATACAAGATGGCGCCACCAACCTCAAAGGCGGTCACACTACTTCGAGCAACGATAATTCAAATAATATAATTTTTTAACAAATAAATATATATAAAAATTAAAAATAAATATATAAATAATAAATACATTTATTATATTGTTGTTTTTTTTTTGGGCCTAAAATGAATTATGTTTATAAACAATAAGATTTTCAGTCTTCCCTTTGTAAAAAATAAAAAAAAATAATTATTTAAATTAAAATAAAGTGCTATCCACACCATCAATCTTCCACTCACCACCTGAGGATGTTTTCGGCAACCCATCGAGATTTTAGAGATCCGAAAATCCGAGTTTTATTAACACAAACAAGGCATTAATATCAATTTTGGTTTCACTTGACTGGCGAGAGCTGGAAATGATAATTGCGGGTCCAGCAGCTGCTGCCCCCAACTGTCCAAAGAAATCAGCGCCAATTGGCTTCAAAGCAAATATTTGCCCCGAGTGGCAGTTAAAGCCCAGTCTGTGACTGACTAATGACAGGATCAGGGATCCCAGGATGGGCTGGACGGAGAGACGGTGTAGCAACTTCTGCTGCTTTTCACACCATATCGGTCGAAAAGGTGCGATTGCTGGCACACCTTTGGGCCTCGTCAATTCCGGGAATGTCAGGCCATAAAACGTTGCTCCAAATTAGCGCTTTATTGCGTGTTTGTTTGGCCAGCGTCGAACCGGAAAAGGTCTCACCGAATCCCCCAATCCTCAATCCCCAACCCGCAATCCCTGCTTCAAAAGCAATCCCTGGCCAATCCTGGTACCAGCTTTTGGCACCTAACCGTTAAGTTCTTGTTAAGACAAGGGCCTGAGAGTGCAAATTATAGCCGCCGGCCATGGCGATTTATTGAGAAGGGTATAATAATAACAACAGGAGTGTATACAAAACTATATAGCAATATATAATCCACATAATTCGCATAATATATGTAAGCTTTTATTGACATTTTGTGGCACCTGCACAGGGCCAGTTTATCACAAACTATTTACACGTCTCCTCTTCACGTCCTTTGTTCCATTCAGTCCATAGTCCTTAGTCCTTAGTGCTCCTTAGAGGCTCTGGGTATAGCTCAGCTATCGTGTTTGTAGGCCTGGCTATTTTGACGCCACTTGCGCCTTATCACAATGTGGTAGCAGTGTTTTTGGAGTGCCAGTTCCAGTTGAAATATCCAGTTTCCGTTTCGGTTTATCCTAGGCGCCTTCTAGGCCCCCAGCTCAGAATTGATCAGGCACTGCGGGGTGTACACAGTGGCCAGGGAGTCCCAGCCACAGTCGGCCAGCTGATGGGCGCGATGGGGATTCCAGTCCAGACCACAAACGAATTCCGTGTGATGATCCTTGATCTCCTGGGCGGATTCGCCACGTTCCAGGTTCCAAATCCTAATTAAGAATAAGATTTTGTTTTAAATAAAAACTTAATAGTATTGTTTAGTATCCTAACTAACCTTGTGGTAAAATCATAATTCGCTGAAGCCAAAACCGCCGCCGAGTGCGGTGAACAGGCCAATCGCCGGACGGCGAACTCTCCGGAGTACAGCTCAAAGACATGGGTCCTCATCTTGCGCAGATCCCAGCCTCGGATCAGGCCATCCGATCCTCCAGTGACCAGGACATTCCTGTCGAAGTGCGACCAGTCGCAGGACAGGGCCTCGCTCGCATGGGCCTCGATGCTCATCAGGGGTTTACCTGCAAAATCAAGAGAGTTCCATAAGTTCAAATGCCCGTCGGTACTTACGCTAGCAAATAGATTGGCGATCAGGGGCGAGAACTTGGCCCCGTAGATCAGATCGTTGTGACCCACGAACGTGGTGATGGAGTGCTGTCTGTTGCAGTCCCACAATTTCAGAGTGCAATCCCAGCTGGCCGAGAGCAGGGTATGGTAGTTCCACTTCTCGCCCCAGTCCAGACTGTAGACCTCGTTCTTGTGCTCCTGCAGGCAGATCAGCGGCTGTTTGGGCGTCTGCTGTCCGTCCGCCGTCGCCGATTCGGCATCCAGGCCGCACCAGATCTGCAAGGAGCCATCCCCGGAAGCGGTGGCCGCAATGTCGGCGGCGTACGGACACCAGGCCACATCGAACAGGCCGTCGGACCACTCCAGACGGCACAGTTCGGCCAGCTTTTGGCCATCATCGCCGTTGGGATTCTGTTCGAGCAGAAAGAGAGAGCCACCTCCAGCAAGACCGTACAATTGGCTAAGGGAATTTTAATTTTTATATAAATAAGCTTTCATTAAAAGGGTTTAGGGTTTAAGATTACTTACCTTGTAGCCAGCAGCATGTGATTGGCCTCGAAAGGCGAGAAGCGCAGGCTATAACCATGACGGTCTGTGGTGGTGTGGGTCTGTGTTTGCATTCTGTTCTTTGTTTTTATCAACTGAAATTAGATAAAATTATATAAATATATTAAGAATCTATAGAGATTAAAGAATAAGATCTAAGAAGTATAATTATCGTAAGATGGCGACAGAGCCTCGGTTAGGAGGATCTACCAACTATCTATTGGAAGTTATAGGTGTACCCTTATGAAACCCCTTTAAGATTAATAAGAGGGAGATGTAATCACTGAATTAGAATGTCTGTGAACCATTAAATCCCCTATTTTCACTTTGTTTAATTATGCAACAGTTGGCGCTACAAAAATGACCTCGCACGAGGTCGGAACGATACTTGACATTAGCCAATTTGTTCGGCCAAGTGGCAAACTGCGCAAAATGCTGGGTGCTGTGTGTTGGATTGGTAAGAAACCACCCCTAGAACTGGCATGTTTGCAGTTTTCTAGATTCCATTTTCTTGTTGGCACGGCATTTGCTACATAACGCCTAAATCCATTTAGTGGACACCGAATCGATGGGAAACCCCGCGTACAGGGCCAGGGCAAAGGTATATAAGCAGGTTGCACGGTACTGGGCTTTTGCATTTTCCACCGCCGAACGGAAAACTCTGCACGCACTTGGAACTAACTCAGATATTTTAGTTTTTTTCTTTTCTCGAGAGTCTCTGAAAAAACAAACTTCAATAAGATATGGTTGTTTCCGTTAAGGTCTTCAAGAAGGCCACGCCCAACGGCAAGGTCACCTTCTACTTGGGCCGCCGCGACTTCATTGACCATCTGGACTACTGTGATCCCGTGGATGGAGTGATTGTGGTGGAGCCGGACTACCTGAAGAACAGGAAGGTCTTCGGCCAATTGGCCACCACCTATCGCTATGGACGCGAGGAGGATGAGGTCATGGGGGTCAAGTTCTCGAAGGAACTGATCCTCTCCAGGGAGCAAATCGTCCCAATGACCAACCCGAACATGGAGATGACCCCCATGCAGGAGAAGCTGGTGCGCAAACTGGGCGCCAACGCCCATCCGTTCACCTTCCACTTCCCGCCCAACTCGCCAAGCTCCGTGACCCTGCAGCAGGAGGGCGACGACAACGGCAAGCCTCTGGGCGTGGAGTACACCATCCGTGCCTTTGTGGCCGACTCCGAGGATGACCGCCAGCACAAGCGCAGCATGGTCAGCCTGGTGATTAAGAAGCTCCAGTATGCTCCTCTGAATCGCGGCCAGCGCCTGCCCAGCTCCCTGGTCAGCAAGGGCTTCACCTTCTCCAACGGCAAGATCAGTCTGGAGGTCACGCTCGATCGCGAGATCTACTACCATGGCGAGAAGGTGGCCGCCACCGTCCAGGTCTCCAACAACTCGAAGAAATCCGTGAAGAGCATCAAGTGCTTCATTGTGCAGCACACCGAGATCACCATGGTGAATGCTCAGTTCAGCAAGCATGTCGCCCAGCTGGAGACCAAGGAGGGCTGCCCCATCACTCCGGGCGCCAATCTTACCAAGACCTTCTACCTCATTCCTCTGGCGGCCAACAACAAGGATCGCCATGGTGAGAATCGTTTATGGGACGTTGAAAGTTTCCTTTTGTGAGAGTCCTTTTGTTCTACATCTATAGGTATTGCTCTGGATGGGCACTTAAAGGATGAGGATGTCAATCTGGCCTCCTCCACCATGGTCCAGGAGGGCAAGTCCACGGGCGATGCCTGTGGTATCGTCATTTCGTACTCGGTGCGCATTAAGTTGAACTGCGGCACACTGGGAGGTGAAATGCAGACGGATGTGCCCTTCAAGCTGCTCCAACCGGCACCTGGTAAGGATCCTCTCAAAATCCTTAGTCTTCTAACCTCCTGACCTTCTGTTACTTTTAAATATTTAAGGAACCATTGAGAAGAAGCGTTCCAACGCCATGAAGAAGATGAAGTCCATCGAGCAACATCGCAATGTCAAGGGCTACTACCAGGACGATGACGACAATATTGTTTTCGAGGACTTTGCCAAGATGAGGATGAACAATGTCAACATGGCGGACTAGGCCAATGGGAGCTCTAACCTTTAAGAATTGTTGTGAACCGAAGGAAACCGAAACCGAAATCGAAAGCACTGAAAACACTGTTGCAGCAGTCCTTGGTGGAGGCCACAATCTTTGTATTATAACCATATCTCTATATAGAAACTTTGGTGGATCTGGAGTTTGTACCCGTACTTATGTTGAAGTGTTGAAACCTATATTATAAATGTGTTATGGCTATCAAAACTTACCGCTTCAGCGTTTAAATCCTTGAATATCCAAAGGAGTCTTAGATTCTTTTGGTTAAGAGGAGTGGATGGATGTGTGTGGTGCGGTGGGTTTCAACTTCAGAAGTCGAATGATCTGGATGAGTGCTCAGCTCGACGAGGAAGCGTCGGCTCAAGGCTTTTAGGGGTTGCTCTGCTGACAGGGGGTTGCAAAGCCCAGAGCCTATAGGTCAAGATTAGGACTTTCAACCCCTTGGAGGAATCAACAGGCTGCTAGGACCTTTGTGGCAACCAATCAGCGGCTCTCAAACTGGATATGGCCGCTTTTGTAACGGAACTTCCAGGTGGAGACAATGAAGGCGCCGAAACCAAATGGGCAAGCTTCTGACCTTGATGAAAACTGAGGCCATCAGCTGCTCATCCTCGGCCAGATTTCCGTGCTATTTTTCTAGTACTAGTTGGCCTTATATAAGTTAGCATAACAGCTGGAAAAAAAAAAGTTGGATCTGGAGCGGTCAGATCCGCTCGATCGATCGATGGATCGATTTCACACACCGCTGATTGCTGGACTGGAGCTGCTTCCGGCATTCGGGAAGCCAAGCCCCAAAAGTAAAAAAACTGAAAATGCTCCACCAACTACCAACTATAAATGCCAATGTTGTTGTCAAAATGCTGCCACAAATTTGACGAGAGTGCAACGCGATGGAGCTGTTGAAAACGTATAGATTCGGTGCAGTCTTTCTGCTCATTGTGCTACTGCTGCCCCAAGTGATGGTGCAACACCTGTACTATCCACAGCCTCGGCCGCTTTACTACGAGGCACCGCGTCTCCGGAGATTCGAGTATGCAGCAGCCACGCCTCTATTTAGTGGCGCTGCCCCACCGCCTCCAGCACACTACCAGCAACAGGCACCACACTTTCAGGTGTTCAACTATCGATCTGGCTATCAGCCCTTGGCTTTGGATTACCAGCAACAACAGCCTCCTGTGGCACCTGCCCCGCCCCTACCCCCGCTTTACCCGCAACAGAGTGTTCAGTACCAGCATCGGGTGGTGTCCCCTCCAGCGGAGCTGGCCAAGTACCGATATGAAGGAAACTATCTTCCGGTACAGCGACTAGCCGTGCAACCTCAGCGAAGGGTCGAGGAGCATCAGCAGCAGCAGCAGGTACAGCAGCAACAACAGTTGCAACAACTGCAGCAGCAGCAACAACATCTCTACAATGTTCCACCGGCTCTGTTCACCAGCGATGTGTTGCATGTAATTCCTCCGAGGATCGCCAGGTTGCAGGAGCAACAGCAGCAACCTTCGCAGACAGTGCAAACTGAAAGACCCAGGCGGTTTGCCACCAAACAGGATACGGAAGTGGCCGAGTCCAGGAGTGATCGGAATCTCAAAGAAACCAAGTACTTTCAGTAAGAGATTTGTTTGTAAAAAATCCCGAAAAAACACTCAAAATGGTGGTGGTTTTTTAAACATTTTTCAAAACACTCCAGACAATTAAACTTGACCAGCAACTCCTCCCATTATAAAAGGAAAAAATAGGACCTAAATAGTGATTTTGGTGGTTGCTTTTAAAAATTGAAGTTCTGTATTTCTTTTTACAAAAAAAAAGGGTTTAAAAAACATTAGAAAAGTGTGTCCAATATTTGAAAAAAGTGGTGGTTGATCATAAAACCAATAAAAAAGGCAACATTTTGATTTAAATTACCCTTTACACTAATCCTTGGCTTGTAATTGGTTATTTAACATTTAAATTAATATCCCTTTTAAAAATTTATCTTTAAAATCTATAAATTAGTGATATATTTATGCGCTTTGATGGCCCCGATTCGCGAAGTCATGGCTATGTAATGAAGCATCCGAAGACTCAGGAAAGGCGCTTTGAGTCCCAAAGAGGCACGAACCGCTACAAGGGCGAGGTGAGCTGAACTTGAGTGATTAAAACCCATAAATTTCCAGATAATTCGCCAGACTTTCCACTTATAGGTGATCTGGACCGATCGTCAAGGAGGTCATGGCGAGCACCGCTGGGACATGGCTCAGGGAAAACTCTAAGCATCTGAGTGGCAGAATCCGCATATTCGAGGCAAATTTGCATACGACTATCCTTCCTCTTTTCCCAAATCGCTGTACATACCCATCTACATTCGCATAAATCGTGACTTTTCATAATTTTGCTGTATTATTTATTTAAGGGGCAATGATTTGGCGTGAAATTTCTTTTATAGTTCTTTTTTTTTTCCTTGGAGAGCAAATGCAAAAGATTTGCATACGAATGCAGTACCGATAGCTCTTGTCTTAGGTCAGCTTTTCGGGATCACTGAAGATTTTCTCACGCCGGAAAAGTAGACTGGCCACTAACCGGTTATCCGGTTTACAGCCGAGCCGGGACAGTCGGAGAAAAGGTCAACTGGCGGTGGGCCGACACCGATCACCGATCAGCCAACATCGAAAGCTGCAAACTGGTTCTGAGCCCGACCGAATGACCCAATTGTCCTGCAGTTACTTAGTTACAGGACTAGACAGTCCATCATGCGGGCCAAATATGCAAATGCCTCGTCCTCGTTGTCTGGCAAGGCGCTAAGCTGACTCAAGGAAAAGGGTTGAAGACGTAGCTGAGGGTTTTATCTGTTTCGATGTAACCTCAGTGACCTTCGGGGGTTGCATTCGACTGGCTGGCTCGCTGGCTGGATGGCTCATTTGCATACATTGGAATGACACAGGGCCAGTGTCCAGTTGTTTACCTTTATCCTTTTAAATGAGTGACCGAGTGACCAAAACACATGTCTTAGAAGCAAGACCGATACTGAGTCCTGGGCATGTGTATGCAAATTGGTGGAAGGCATTTCGGAAATAGTAGTAACCCATCTATGCGGGTCATTAGAGACGCGATCGGCGATGGCCGGGCCTGTCTGTCACATTCACTTTGAGAACTCACGACTGTCCAGAACCGGTTAGTTCTTCTTGGGCGATAAGGTCATCAAAGGAAAGGGTTCTTTGCTTCTCCAGCTTTCTCACACGCTCGTCTAATTTATGCAAGGACACTGCAGAAGGACACTGGAGATGCGATGCGTTCCGATTGCGACAACCGGTCTGACCGGTCCGGCCGGGTCCGAATCTGAGAGATCCGTGTCTTCGGTGACCACGCAGCCGATTCTTGTGAGAACTGCCATTAGATGGCCTTTGTCAGCGACTGCCCAGAAACGAGTTCGAACTCCCTAAGCTTCCCAATTTCCCGAGTGTCACTGGAAGATCCTTTGCAGGCCTTTGTATGCATTCGCCAATTGCTCGGGGTTAGGGCCTTGATTTATACGCAAATAAAATTATGTTTACCTTTGAGCGAGGCAGACTTCGGTGTGACCTCAATCTTCACAGTCGCCATCCGAGTCCGGAGATTCGGGTTCATCGAGAGGCGGTCGGTATTTGTACCAAAGTATAAAAAGAAGAAAAGTCCCCATTTTAAAGATATCGAAAAATTTTTAATTTAATATTCTAAACAAGAAAATCGATCCTAAATGAATGACATAAAGTAGAGTAATGTTATGATCTCGTGCCGATCGAATCTCGACGCTTATTTACAAACTACATGGACTTGCGGAACTTTCGAGTATATTTCGAGAAGGCAGTACCCCTAGGTGTGCCACCCTACTGGTGGTACTGATGGTACTGTGGCTGGTACTGCTGCTTGCTGGGTGCCCCCGAGCTGTACTCCTGCTGTTGCTTGTGGCCACCGGCCCGGAGCAACTGCGTTGGCGGCGGTGGGGTGGGTATCTTAACCACGATGTCGGTGGGTTCGCGGATCACCTCCGCCTTGAAGCCCTCCTTGGGATCAGCCGTGTACTTCACGGTGCGGATGAAACCATCGGAGTCCACCACGGAGTAGCTGCCCTTGATGACAGATCCGTCGCGGATCTCCTTGCGGTTCTGGTAGTTGGTGAACTCATCGTCCTTCACATCGAATCCAAACTGGTAAGAGGAGTTTTGCTGAAATTTTAGAGGTTCAGAAATTTTAGAGGTATTATAGATTGAAGAAATCCCGTCTTCCCACCAGATTTTTAGGTGCGGTTCCATTAGGATTTCAAATGCGTGCTGACCCACTTTTCTGGCCCAAAACTGGCCCCAAACGCCACGAAAAAGATACATGTCCAGACTGTTGCGTCACCACTTGAGGCACATGTGGGCAGACTTGTGACTCCGCGTCCCAGATCACGCACAAGTGAAAGTAATTTGGACTCTGGTTGCGTATTTTTTAATGGTCCAAGCGCACGAATTTAAAACTTCAGTGCAGCGGATCGCACGATCGATCCGATGGCTTGGCTCCGAATTATGCAATTACTATGTATTATGCGGTAGAAATTAAACTTCAAGCGGAGGGCGTTGAATAATTTATGCACAAGGCCCGCCATGGAGGATCCAACCTTCGGACCATCAAGATTGCAACTGCGATCGAGGCAAGCCCATCGCAGATCAATCTCAAGAACTGGGTTAAGGTAACCAGAAGCGTGTCTGTGAGGCGTGACCATCCAACGATCAATAGCCCATTCTCACAGAAGTGGCCTAAAAAAAAAATCCCAAAGCCACAAAAGACAAAAAAACTGCAAGCCGAAAATTGGAAAGGCAAAAATCCAGTTTGCAAGCCGGTTCTAATGCGTGCACTGTCCATTTGCTTGATTGCATTTTTTTTCATGGGAACTGGGCTCGGAACTTAAAACATGGCACTTGCAAGGGGACCTGGGAGGACAGGGCGGCAGCTTTATGGGTCGCATTTGAAAGTGATTGTTGCCGGGGGAGAATGCAACCGCCAGCGGCAGTGTCGCATTTTATGGCCATCGCGGCTATAGGGACTTGGTGGTTAAGCTAGTGGGTTGTATCTTTATGGGGCTATTGAAGATAAATGTCTATTTTCAACCATACCATTATAATATTTAATCCTTTTTTTAAATTGATTTTTTAATAGTAAAAAGTTGTAATGTTACTCATTACTGTCACCCATCTATTTTAAGTTGTCTTAAAGATGACACGCAATCTTCGCACTTAACCCCGTCTCGTTAACTAGTTGGCTGATGGATTATGGCCACTTTGGTAACGAAATATCCGTTACCAGCTTCCGCATGCAAAGGCCATAAAAAATCGCCGATGGCCAAAGCCAGGCTATGTGGCTGAAACCGAAGCCGAAAGCTAAACGGACCGGACCAGGAGCTCTGTCGGGCCAATGAACATGCACAATGCACACAATGCATCACGAACACACTCACACTTATGGCCATGGCCGAATCCCCAGCTAGAGCCAGAGCCGTGTGGTTAATGAACCCCAGTCCCCTCCCGCACATTACCTCTAGTGTCGTTGCATGCTTCAATTGTAATTATGTTGCTGTTGCAGTTTGCAGTTGATATTGGTATTGCTGTTGCAGTTGCAGTGAAGCGAAAAGGAAAGTGCGCGAAAGCGAGTTCGAACTCAAGATCTGCACTGAGAGAAACTACCCACTATTTGTAGTTTTTCATGAAGACCATTTCTTCAAACATTATATATCTGAGACCCCCAATGTATTAAAGTGCATTGAAAACTTACATCATCGTACTGCTCCTCTTCCTCCTGCTGTTGCTGCTGCAGCTTGTGCTGTCCCTTGCCCAGGATCGAGGTGGAGGGAGCCTGGTAGGAGGCGGGCTGCACCCGGCGTGGCGGCTGGGGGGCAGCCTGGGCGGGAGGACGGTAGGCGGCCTGCTGGGGCTGAGCCTGGTACTGCAAGTACACATGTATTAGCCCCCCGGACACAAAATACTCAAGGATCAAGGAGGTCACCCACCTGTGGCTGCTGGAGGTAATCCCGAACTGCTGGGGCCACGTAACCCTGCTGCTGCTGGGCGCGGATCTGCTCGGCCACGGTGTCCTTCAGCCGGATCTGCTGGCCGGCGGTCACGTACTGCTGCGACTGCTCCGAGTTCTGTTCGTAGATGGGCGTGCCGTCGATCGTCTGGCCCTGGCCCTGGCCCTGCTGCTGGTGTTGCAGCTGCTGGTAGTACTGCCTCAAGTAGGCGGGGTCCACGCCCTGCTGACCGCTAGCCAAGCCACAAACCGAAATGGCAGCCACCACTAGTTGAAGGAGTTGCATGTTGCTGGAGGAGATTTTGCTGCTTTAAATCACAATCCGCGCACTTAACACTGAAAACTGAAACCTCACCGCCGGAGCCACAAAAATATCTGCGCTGGCTTCGGACCCAAATTGCACTTTTATATCGGCGTTAGCTGAGCGCCACCAAGCTGGCTCTCTCTCTAAAAAAAATACATATATCTGTGGAGCTTTGTAACGCCAGCTCTCCATAGCTGACTCTGGGGCGACTCTTGGCTGATTTACAACAGCTGTTTTTGGTGGGCCGACTCCCCCCGATTCGGTTTTCCATTTCCGTTGAAATCATAGTTCCTCTACCCTCGACCTGGGCCATTGTATAATGTATCTTTTTTAACATTACATGATCGGGGGCAAGTGCTCTTTCCATTTTCTCTGTCAAAAAGATGGAAAATGATTTACTAAAATTCAAATACCAATTAACTAATAAAGCGGGGCAGTTAATAAAAACTTTCACGAATTTGTCATTTAAATATAACAACATAAAGTATCTGCTAGCACACACCCGAGTGTTGTAATAGCATGCAATTCCCGCAAATAAAATGTTAATTATAAGTACCTGAATACTAAGCACTCTCATAATGCGGTTGACTCCTTCAGCTGACATGCAACTACAACTGATTTTATGCAATTGGCTCTTGTGGCGTGGTCGATGGCTTCCCATTAGATAATCATCCCAAAAATTAATCGTTCGGCTCTTGATGAGGTTCAAATTCTTGAGGTCAGGCCCCACCCGAGTCGACAAAAGTGAACAAGTGCATAGTGTGCCATTGTTTCCAACAGGGTTTGACCCAAATTGCATTAAACGTTTTTCATTGGGGCTTTTGTCTTGTATCCGCAGTCGCTTCTATCGATCTATCTACCGTATGTATTGATGAATGTATCTTTGTATCTGTATCTGGGGTTGCGAACGCGTTCGCGTTGCGGTTGAATAGGTTCAATCGGTCTTTGATTCACTGATTGCCAAATCTTTTGCACTTTAAGCCCTTTTTGCAGCATGTGTACCATACGATCATGTGATCGTGTCATTAAACCTCCATAAACTGGAGAAGTACAGTGAGTATAGGATAAAGATTAGACTAGTTACCTTTATTTCAGCTCAGTGTTCGACTGTTTACTATACTTAGTATCTACTGTACTGAAAGCCTCCTTTGCATTTGACCAAATTTGATATTTGAGACGTCGATGCGATTACAATTGCCTCAGACCATTGTTAATGTTACAGTTGCCATACGCCCTGAATTTGCATGCAAATCTACAATAAATCTTTCCACTAGACGAGATTTCTTCGACAAGGTCGTTTCGGGGGAGCTACGGCGGCTATGGCAATTGAATTTTATACACAAATTGGAATCAAAATCAGGTTGACCGTTTAATGGGATCGCTCTGACATTGTGCCAGCTTGGGTAATGCAGTAAAATAAAAAACTGGCCAAAACAACAGATGTATGAAAGAAAATAACATTTGCTGTGTGTGTGGCTTACTTAGCCGTGAAGTGAAAGTACATTATGTGGTGCAGACAATTGTTATGCACATTACACACGTACATACACTCTCGAGTGACTTATTTCCATTCAAATTAAAGTCAAATTTATGTTTACGCTCATTTCTTAGCCCATGTGTGCATATAGTTTCAATATAAATACGTTTAATTGCCCAAATGATTGATGGAATAAGTGCAGATTTGCAGCGTCATGTTATGCAAAGATTTTCGGCTACTTTTTTTTTTTAAAGGGGTGGAGTCTGAGTCTTTTATTTTACCTGGGCAGGGCCCGAAACTACTTATAAAGAGGATAGCTCGTCATATTCAAATAATTTTGATACAATTACACAGCCAGAGTGTTGAAATGTTTGATCCACTTGTGGGTAAATTATATCACAGCCAGAGAGCAGTTACTGGATTTATGAATATCAGGTGTTATAATATTTGTAAGTCCATTAACCACTCAAGACTCTGAACAGTTTCTTTTTCCAATCAAAGTCACATTTATTAATTAAAACATTATTTACACCTATTACATTCCATGACTAGAATCACTCGTAGTTAAAAAAATCTCATGATTTTTAACTCAGAATCAGCATAAACATAAGGTAATTGTAAATCAAAGCTCCTGCTAAGTGTAATTTAATTGTTTTTTATTTTAGAATTGAGGTGGTAGAGTTAATGTGTATATCATATATATATTTATTTCAAATCCGATTTCATTTACCAAACCAATTTATCATTAAGCTTGTTAGTGTTTCACAATTTCTTGTTTTTTGTTCGTTCTTCATATAATTTATTAAGTTAAATAGAATTTCATAAAAATCCGCTAAATATGTTAGGAGATAAACAACTGTCGGTGCCAACTATTGCAGATGTTGTCGGTGTTGATGTTGATGTTGCTAGTGTCGATGCTGCTGCTGCAACATCTAGTAGTCGGTGGCACCAATAACGCTGTACATCAGACGATTGAAAGAGCCGCTCTGGCGTATGTTCTCGTCGTGGGTGTTTACCACCTTCAAAAAAACATATAATACATTTAGTTAATTAAAATAAAAACATAAACAATTTTTAAAAGATACTCACATTGTACGGCGGCCGGGATACTGGCGCTGATACTGGTTTCTGTAAGATCATTCAGTGGGGAATAAATAAATAATATTCAACTTAATAACCTTTGTAATTTCCAGCGCTTTTTGTTATTTTATCCAAACTATCAAAAATGCAATCTCTAAGTTTTATGAGCTTTTGTGTTAAATGTTAAATGGCTTCAAAAAAAAATAGTGTGAGTGTGTGGTGCGCTTATGATTTGGAAAATATACACAAAGATGGGGTTAATGGAGATGCCATATCAGAATTAGTAGTTACTTTGGCTTAGTTAGTAGTTAACATTCCGCTGGACAAGGACACTCTGACACTGTTGACTAACATTCGGTTGGTTCAACTGTACAACTAGGGGTCAGGATTAACATTTTTACACAGATAGAGAGAGACAGCAAGAGCGAGACAGGAACAGAGAGATATAGATTGAGATATAGGCAGACTTTGTACAGATGAGCTTGAGCTTGGGCGAGCGATCTTGTCTTGGATGCCTTCACATAGAGTTTTTTGACTGAGGTCGTTTGATTTTTGAATTTGAATGGACTTGGTCTTCCCTGATTAGATCTTACCTTTCCTGGAACCAATCTATTCGGCTGGTAGACCTTGGTCTGCACAGGAATGGTCACTTCCTGTGGCGAAGAAGTGCCATAGTTGCTGTAGCCGCCCTCCTCTTGGATGGCTCTGTAGGTATCGCTGTTCCTGGGATCGTACACGACAGTTTTCTTATAGCTGCTCGATGGCAGTTAACAGTGATCAGTAACGGTATTGGTATCGGTATCGGTATCGTTATCAGTTTCGGGGGTTTTTTGCATTTTGAGATCGTTGAAAGCGCCGTTATTTCGTTGGTTTTTTTTTTTGGGTTATGCGTATGTTTTTCAATAGATTTATTTTAAGTCGTTTTATTGTTTGTTGGTTAATCGAAATTCATTCATTTAAATGAATTAACAAAATATATTTGGTTTTTTTTTTGGTTTGTTTTTTTTTTTTTACATCGGTTGAGTAGCGTGAGACAGAGTAGTGAGAGAATAGAAAGAGAAAACAGGATGTGCACAAAATACGTTAGAATTATTTTGTTTTGTTTGTAGTTGTAGTATTTTTTGTAATTTTTTATAAATTTTATTTTGTTTTTTACTGGTGTGCTTTATTGTCCATTCAATGGCACACTCCTCAAACAATTTGCGATTAATAGGAAACTCATTAACAAATTCCTTACGAACTAGTTAATAAAAGTAATCGAACAGAACTGCATAACAAGTGTAAGATTTTTATTAATTTTAATCAGTTTTCATCGTATGAGTTGAAGCCTTAAGGTCGGGAGGGGGTTAGGTTTTGTTAAGATTAGGATTAAAAAATGTATTAATACTGGAGGGGGTTGCAATGGCCGGGGGTATGATGAATAGGAACTTTCAGTGCTGTCTTTCAAACAGTTTTCTCGTAAAAATAATTCAGCAAACTTCTTTATAACCAAGATTAGTCTTAAAAAGGGGCGGGGCTGGGAAGGAAAAGAGGAATTTTCAGCAGGGTTGGGGTTTTTGGGGGGTCTAGTTGGAAAGACTTTTTTTGTGGCTACTATTTCTTTGATCATTTGTTTTGTTGATAGAGTTGTTGCAGTTTCTGCTGGCGATGTTGGCGTTGTTGCTCTGCAAGTTGGTCTTTTTGCTTTTGTTGCTCCAGGATTTTACGTTTTTGTTCCAGGAAAGATAGATCGATGAAAATTCTAACATTAATTGTGCAGCTGAGTTCTAAATATATAACGGGGTCTAATATCTAGAGTCGTAATTGTCTAAGGTGTTGAGTTGGTTTTCATTAAAATTTTAATATTTTATTTTGGTTTAAATTAAAAATAAATAATTATATTTACAGCACCTGACCTGCCAAAAGAAACCCCAATATGCCGATTTACCTTTCACACCTGCGCCAGAATATGCGGATAACCCAAAGAAGGAAAACCCTGTGGGGACTTGTTGGAGATACTTTCAGGAAAAACACTTATATACAAATAGTATTGGTTTCCATATCACAGACTCCTGTCTAAAGAGATTTTTGTTGCAATAGGAAAATATATGGGAAAGGGAACACATAATATGTACATTCATATGGACAGCAGAGCACATGCATCGGTTTTTGGACTGGTGTCGTGTTGTTCTGTTGTTCTGCCAGACATATCATAGATATTGTATCTTGTTTTTAAAGGACTTTTTCATAAATTGTTGTGGTTGCGGGAGACAACAATTATGGGTATTTGATGGGTTAATCTGTACAGACAGGCAGGGATATATATTTAGATATGAAAACATTCCTCATTTTCAATTTTCAATTTGTCTCAAGGCAAGTTCAAGTTCAATTTCGAATTCTTGCTCGAAGGATTCAATCAAAGAAACGAAATCAGGCTGTGCTCAAGATATGAAATTACTTTTACCCGTTAAGTTTTGTTGGCAAAGGACGATGCAAAGGACTGTCCTTCAAGCGATTGCTTTCGCTTGTGGCGAAGCTACAACAATATACATAGAATATATAGGTATATATAGAGAGTGGAATATATAAAGTAGATAAAATAATAAAACAGATATCCGGCGATAGGCGTACGTACAACATCTAGGGACTGGAGTGTGTTTCTATAGTGTTTTCGTCTGATTCGTGTGTGCTTCGTTTTAGTAAATTTCGTTTTGAAAAATTTGGCTTACAATTATGATGGGTTAGTTTAAAAATTTTCGCAGCTTAACCAATATCAAGTTATGTGGAACTTAGTCTACTTGTATTCGTAATCAAAATCGTGTCTCGGGATATTAGTTTCAAGCTACTAGGCGCATTTCGAGTGGCTCTCTCTCTGGCAAAAAAGAAAAGCTGCAATAAATTTTGACATTTCTACGCAGATTTATTCAGTAAATTGCAATTTCCAAAAATAGTAAAGAAACGTAATTATATAGGCAATATGTTCAATTCGACAAGCGTAATCCAAAGTTCAGATATTAGTGGTATATTTCTTTTGTTTCGAGCTAAGCATAAGAGTTTTCCAAATGGTATATTTCAGTTGGCAACTTACGGAACTGTTGTCCTGATGGTATCCTCGATGTTGCTGTTGGAGTACAGACCGATGGGCGAGTTGAATTGCTTGTGGAAGACCTAGAAATTTTTTCTTTTATAAAGTAAACTATTTATTTAAGAGAATCCCCCTCATGACTTACGCGGCCAGTGTCGGCCTCGGAGCCAACAACCTTGTGCAGCATGGTGTCGGCCACGCGCTGCTTCATGATACTGTCATGGTAGTCGTGTCCTGGATGGGCGCGCACAGCCGGGTTGGGGTAGTGCCTCAGGTAGGACTCTGTCGTGGGCGCATCCTTCTTCACTTTAGCGCCCGGCAGGACCAGAGGAGTTGTTCGGTAGGGCTGAAATTAATGGAAAACATAACACCACACGTGATCAGTCAAGATTAACGACTTTGTTTATGCCAAATACAATCTGCACACATTTGGCAGCCATGTTCTGGCAAATGATAATATAAATAAATCAGAGAGAGATTACCACAAGTTCTAGAATTATTTTTCCTGTGATCTTTCGATCTTCGCCCACTGTGCTGGACGCGAGTGTGTGCGCGTATAAAGTTTATTTACCTAAAATTCCATTTTATGTGCGAGCAGAGCGCCCGTTTATATACTTTCAAAAATATCTCATCGCCATGGCGTATATTTTTAGGCGCTTACGTGAGCGTGTTCTTCGCCAGCCAGCCAACGTCCAGTTTTCATTTTATTTTTACCAAGCAGTCGGACGAGTAAGTAATTCTATATGTTGGGGCTACTGATTTGAATGTTGTAACAAAGCGCGCCTTATCGATTGATTAAGCTCTATCGATTACCGATTATCCTGATTTAAGCAGCTGATCGTGGCTAGGACTTTTCCAACACTGAATATCTTCGCGCTTTTTTTTGACTACCAGCTGGCGTGGCACTAATTCAGAATAATCCATATTATTTTTAAGAGATAATTATTATTTAAAAAGAGCTACTAACTACATGGCCGCCGTTCGACGCTCCACGCGCCTATCGGCCGCTGCTTCGTCTCTGCCACCTACGCCGCAGTCGCAGTCGCTGCAAACGGCGAAACAAAGTGAAGTCAGAGGTCGGCGCAGATCGGACGTTTGGAAAATCAGACAACCGACTGTAGAAATAATTGATAGCGACGAGGACTCTGATGACCGCATTAGCCTCGTTTCAGAGAACAACGAGAACCGCAGCCACCTGTTGAATAAAATGGACAACGGCAGCAGCAGGCGCAGGACGACGACAGGCTCAAGAGTTCATATTTCCGACAATGAGCCACCGAAGACGCCACGCAGCAGTAAGAAAACATCAAAAACAGCCGCTTCCCGAGCGAAAAGAATCGAGGAAAATGAAGAAGCGGTCAGGATATTTCTGGAGAGCAGTGATGTGGAGGAGGAGGATGTGGTCAACGCTTCTCCGCCCAAACAACGTAAAATTCAACCGCTTCCTCAACATCTTATTAGTCCCTCGCGACTGCTGGACAGGCTCAGTATAGATGAGCGCCAAGAAGAGGACCCCAAGGAGACCAAGACTGATAAAAAGCAAGAGAAACTTTCAAAGAAGAAATCGCAGCCTCAAGCACATAAAGACCATCTTCCAGAAGAGAAGGAGGAATCCAAAACGGAGGAGCCAAGCCTCTCCCCAGAATTTAAGTCGCGCAACAAATACCAAAACGCTCGTCGGGTTCTAAACAGTGCAGAGACTCAAAACTTACCCGGCCGGGAGCAACAGCTCCAAGAACTTCGAGAGTTCTTCACCAGTCATTTGGAGACCCAAACCTCCGGAAGTCTGTATGTCTCAGGCCAGCCAGGAACTGGCAAAACAGCTTGCCTCTCGCTACTGCTCCGCGATCCGGAATTCTCTAAAAGACTGCAACGTGTCTACATCAACTGCACCAGTATTGCCAGCGTGGGAGCTGTTTACAAGAAGCTATGTTCAGAGTTGCAACTGAAAGTAAGCGGTCGCACGGAACGTGATCACATGGAAGCCATACAGCGGCACCTAAGAACAGCCAAAAAGATGCTCCTTCTGGTCCTAGACGAGATAGACCAGCTGTGTACTAGCCGACAGGAGGTTTTGTACACGATTTTCGAGTGGCCCGCCCTGCCCGGAGCCAGATTACTTCTCGTTGGCATTGCCAATAGCCTCGATCTCACTGACAGGGCTTTAATGCGTCTAAATGCCCGATGCGAGCTAAAGCCTCGGCTTATGCACTTTCCGCCTTACTCCAAGCAACAAATTGTGGAGATCTTCAAGTCGCGCCTGGCCGAGGCAGAGGTTTTGGACGTCTTTCCGCCAGTGACCTTGCAACTATTAGCGGCCAAGGTGAGTGCGATCAGTGGAGATGTGAGGCGTGCTCTGGATATAGGAAGGAGAGTGGTGGAAATAGCAGAGCAGCAGAAACGCGTTGGTGAAAAGGAGTTCAACATGAAGGCCCTGGAACTCGAAGGCAAGGACAAAGAGGAGGCCAAAGAGAAGCAGGGTAAGAATATAGAGGTCTATAAGGATTAGTCCTTAATCAGTACTAATATTTACTCTTCTTTTAGACACTCTAAAACCCGTCCAAGTGACACAAGTAGCGGCTGTTCTTAACAAAGTCTATGGAGCCTCCCAGAACCTTGAGGCGGACATCGAAGACGCCTTCCCACTGCAGCAGAAGCTAATGCTTTGCACGCTAGTGCTAATGCTTCGAAATGAGCGAAACAAGGACATCAGCATGGGACGCCTACACGAAGTCTACCGCAGGGTGTGTGCCAAACGGAATATTCATGCTCTGGACCAGGCAGAGTTTGCTGGCACCGTAGACCTGGTGGAGACCAGAGGCATTATACGCATCATGCGCAAGAAAGAGCCGCGACTGCACAAGGTTCTGCTCCAGTGGGACGAGGAGGAGGTACATGCATCGCTCAGCGACAAGCAGTTAATCGCCTCAATCCTCAGCGACACCGCCTGCTTGGGAAAGTAGCTGCCCGTCTGGATAATTACCTTAGGAAATTAGCTTGGTTAATTGCGCATTTCTCTCATTTTCGTTCACCTTGGGGACGAACATTTCAGACTGTTTGAAACGAACGTATATATATATGTATAAGAATACAATTTTTGACGCTAATTTTAAAATTCGTGGCTGGCGCAAGCACAGAAATATTTTGAAATATCATTTTGAGGGTCACTTTCGACATTCTGCTGCTGCGGGGCATTTTAATTGATTCGAATCTTTTCAGTTTTTATATAGTATGTGTGTCATAAATTTAAGTAAATGTTGCGCCGCCTAATCTATTTCAAATCCGATCCGTTGACCAATAAGCTATAGACTATTTCCTGTTAGCCCTTAAGTGCTTTAAAATAAACCAATACTACAATAGAAAAAACCACAAAAGTGAAAACATTTCCTCACTTTCGTTTGGGGCTTTGATGAGTGCCAACTTTTTGGGGAATAGGCGGTAAATCCCATTGTTTTGCGAGCCAAATTAACGTTAATGTTGCTGAAATACGTGCGGGAATTGTTGGCCATCTCGACATGAAATTAATTTCTTTTATAATCATTTTGTTTATTTATTTTTTTCGGCTTATTGTTGTTTTTCTAGCGCTCTCTGCTCTAAAAATATCCAACATTTTTGGTGGTATGAATTACATTGAGCACAGAATGAGCGCAATCACCGCCGAATGAATATGTTCGGAAACTCTTGTTGCCTTTCGACGCATATTGACGAAAAGCGAACAAATGTTTGAATAATAATCTATATACACATCCAACTGAGAGATCGGCCAACCAGTCAGATATATTCACGGAGGTACTACCTATAGATGTGGGTACATAGCGTTCCTCTTCGTATATTATGTGGAAGGCTTCTTCTTTCTTAATTATATATATTTTTTTTCTTTTGAGGTAACAGTAAAATGAAAACTTCAGAAAATATATATGCCCAGACATATCCCAACGTTTGGCTAGCGTTTAGACTTTTGAATTTGAACTTGAATTCCAAGAACAAATGTTTGACGGTAAAGGTGAAACGTTTCATCTGGATTTTGGCCATGGTCTTGTGTACTTTCAGGTGCCAGTCACAGCAGTTGGATTGTGTCAAGTAATTATTGTTTATGGTTAAAAAGATTATTTTAAATTAGAATTAATTATAGGCACAGTGGGCTATTGGTTTTAAAACTGAAATTCTGAAAAAATTGTTTTCCAAACTTAATAACTATATCCTAGCACTTTAATGAGCACTTTCTACGAGCATAATCGTTGAATTTAGCTTCTTAATTATTTTTTATAAAAAACATATATATTTTTTTATCACTCTCTGGCTTACTTGATATTGAATGCATTCATTGAGGTCTGGCTGCTCCTTGTAGTAGACGGGGGATCCGTTTTTGAACTGAACGTACTCCATTTTTGTGTAGTGTATGTGTGTTTTTGGGTTTTAATTTAAACTCCTTAATTGACCAGAATTTAAACAAAATAGAAACGAAATTAAATTATAGCCAGAGACAATTATGTAATAGTAGATCACATCAGTTTCTTTTGAATATTTTTTTTTTTTTTTTTGTGTAATGACACTTAAAAGTGTCCACAAATTTTAAAAAATATTGGTAACTTGCTTTTTATGCACGTTTAAATCAACGTTGCAGCTGGATGAGATCGCTTCACAAGGATAATATTCACTACTAAAAAGGATACTCGAGCTCGAGTCTTGTATTGTTGTTTATTTTTCAATATTCCGAACGCAACTGATTTGAAAATTTTCAAATGCTGGCGAATTATTGCTATTCCGACTGCTCGGAATTCCAATTTGTCTATATAGATCCGCTCAGTATCCGTATCCCAGTATTGGAGAGTATCTGTCTATGTGAGCCATATAGAAAAGTGAGTGCTGACGGTCAGAGGCCGTTCGACCCACGCACCCATACTCTGGCGATTTCGAAAATTTTGGTAAAATTTATTTCTTCGATGTGTGGGTGAGAGAGAGGCTGATGATTTTTTTAAAATATACAAAATATGTTTTTGTGCAAATAGCTTATTCACCGAGCGTAAACTCTGTATGGCCAACACAACAACAACAACAACAACAACAAAAACAACAACCACAGTATAAACTTGGACTTGGGTGATCTTATTTTTTTTTTTTGGTTCCCGCCCACGCGCCTTCAAGTTATACCCCCCAACGGATGTTGTTGTTTGTCTGTGGCCCCAGCGAAATAAAAAAAAACATGTTATTCACATATATCATCCCATCTTTCATATATACAATATGTGTTTTAATTGCCGCTTTGTAGAGCAATTTCAGATACAATTCTTTTCGCATCGCGAAAATTAGGCACAAATATTTATCGGGTCCGAGGTTATTGTTTCGCTCGAATGCAGAAACATTAATGTGAAAATCGCAGTCGGCAGAAAATTGAGAAACATATCACAGATTTAACAAATTTTGTAGCTACATTATTGATGTGCTCAGTTTGTTTCCACTGATTCGCACGGACACTGCCCAGAGATTTGTCAACTGCCAGTTGACAGTTCCATAGATATATCCACCAGATCTCAAGATACATTGATTATTGGCATTGGCATTCTGTGATTTCTTGGCTTTCATAAGCAATTGACATTGTAGCAGGGCATTTGATGTTCTATCTTGAACACGAGCAGGTGTAATTAGCCTTGAAAGTCGTGAGGAAAAATTTCAAGTTCGATGGAAAATTCAAGGAACGCATAACTTACAGGGAATTATGTTTTGTTTTCCCCTCTGCGAAGGTTGCAGTTCATTCAAACGATCGCGGGGGCGTCTAGAAGAATCTTTTTGTGGCATAAAAAGTCAAACGATCCATAAACAATTCAGGGAATATTTTTTCTTGGGGCTCTAACAAAGCGAAATTTTGGAATACAAATATAATGCAGTCAAGGTATAGGTATATTATAACATAAATTAATTTGGCTGAAGAGCATTAACCCCTAAGAAGATATTTCTATATTTAAAATCTGTTTAATCCAACGTCAAGTACTTAAGAAGTAGAAATTATGAGTCAGGTATATCGAAAGTGGGCGTATTCTTATTATTTGTTTGTTTAGTTAACAGTCTGGACTTCCTTTACTTCCAAGAACCTTGATTATTATTTTGAAAAATTAAAGAACCAATGATCAAATGTCTTTAGTACATTCACCCTTTACTAAGCCTATAAATATAAAGAAAAACTAAAATATTAGAAGGTCTTGGACCTGGAACTTTTGACACCTATATCACACTTTTGTATGACAAATCATTGGACATCAAAAAACATCTATATGCACCTTGATTTTTATTTTGGGGCCGCATTGGCAAACAAAGTGCGACCTTGGCAAGTGTCTTGATTCATTAGCGGCGTCATCTTGGGTCTGTATGAAGCATATGGAGGGGCTAAGAGTGATGGGGCCACTTTCATTGGCAGTGCCACGGCATCACAAGGTATCATCCATACGGACAGTGGATCAAAATCAAAACATCCCATCAAAATACACCTCACCTCACCTGTCCTCCTGCAGTTTAGTAGTGGGGGCCCCCAAAATAGTTTCTATTTACAATGTTTTCTTGTTTATTTGCGTCTTTGCCTCTTGGCATTTTCCGCAGAGTTTGTTGGGGGCGGACTATCTAGTATCTAGCTCTCTGTTTTCGCTTCTGGGTTGGTAGGTCTCTACCGATGTTTCAGTTTGATTTCTCGCCAATTTCCACCTGCACACACTGCGTCACTGGGCTCTTCCTGTTTAGCGCCCCCCATTTTCGACAACCCGGTTCCGATCTCTGGTCTATTTTTGGCGGATGTAAGAGGCGGAACCTTGACCACCAGCAGCATAGCTATCTGCTGATGTCAGCCATTTAATATTTTTTGAAAATTTCTTAAAAACAAAAATTATTTTTGATTTCTGTGGATTTTTGAAAGTTTACTACGGAATGTCTATAAGAAATCGGTACTTTATTCTGTAGCCTTTCTATATTTCTTGTTTTTATATTTTGTTCCTCTACAGGTTGTTTAAAAAACATTTAAATTAAAAACATTCTATTTTCATAATCCTATAAAATATTCTGCATGTAGCGCTCAAAAGTATGCTACATTTTAAACTGAAAATTTTGTATAATTTATGTACATGTAAAAATATATTTTACAGCCAAAATATTAAGATAATATCTTATTTTATTAGCTTTTAAATATTTAAAAATAATTTATTTATGAGTATAAGGATTTTTTTTAATTATTAAGTATACTAAAACCCTTTTTTTACCTTCTATAAACTTTCGTATAAAAGGATTAAGTTAGATAAAGGTTTAAGGATAAGTGTTGAACTACATAACTTACAGTATATTTATGAAGCTTTTAATGGACTCACCTGGTTCACAATGGCAGCCTGCTCCTCATCCACATCCTGCTGATGATCCCTTGTCGGCTTTGGTGAGAACACACTCGACGGAATCTCATATCCTCCCGACGCGTTTAGCTGGGGAAACACAGTCTGAGGCAGAGTGTCCACGGGCAACTGAAGGGCCCGCTCAAAGTGACTGGGTCCGGGCAAAAACGGCGATGGTCCACGGTGGGGCAAGAGATCCGGACTGGCCGGCGGCAGAGTAGAGTTGCTACGGGATCCGGGGCCAGCTTCCTGGCCAACGCCTTGCGTGTACGCGATTTTGTTGTCCCTGGAGGGTAAAACATATTGTTATCCCTGAATGGTGGGTGTGGAATGCCCTGTGGAGACTTACCTGTGCACCACCAATCGGATGTCGTTGCCAGCCCCACGGAACAGCTGTTGGGCGTCAGCATGACTCAAGTCGCGTGCATCGTACTCGCCGATCTTGGCTATGATATCGCCGCGAAGAAGCTCCCCATATGACGGGCTGCCCACCTGCACCTGCAAGGGGGGATACAACAGAAAAGGGTGGTAAGGTTAGACTTTCTTTAGTTTCTTAGTTTGTCCAACATTGGGGTGCCATTCGGTTGCCGCTGCCTTGACACAGATGAATGACTGCCTAAATTATGATCGCCAGACTGTGTTTACATCGTTAGCGGGTTGAAAGAGGAGAAATTATCAAGGAGGGTATGTCGGGGAGGATCGTCTTATGCTATTTTGTTGCGCGTCAATTAGTTTTACTGGCGTCGCATTTTGGCAACGTTGCAGCGTTTATTGTTGCTTCTGTCGGACGGATGTGGCCGATGGGGTTTGGGAATTCTCTCGATGTGCCAGTTTCGCTGTTTTGATTTGTTGCTGTTTATTTGGCCGATGAGAACAAGGGGCACAAAGGCCAAATCGGTTTGGCTTCACTTCTCTTAGTTTCCCTGCATCTGAATTTGCATTCTGTTTCTTTATTTTTTTTCGCCACAAAGCGACAAATGGCTGGCTTCTCCGGTTACATAAGCGAATGTTATTACCCTGGTGATGATTAGTGGCGTGTCCAGATCGTTGCCGCCCACCAGGCGAATGCCCCAGGGTGTGGCCTGGCCATCGCGTTGCAACACCACCGCGAACTCATGCAGCTTGGGGCTCATCCTGCTGGACCGGATCCTACAAGCTCATGCGATTTTGGGTATTTGTTTATTTTATAATTTTTATTATTTTTTTTTTGTTGGGGTTGCCCCGAGGCGCTGAAGGCGCGATATTGCAGTCCGTTAAGCGTTTTGTTCGATCGCAAAGCTGCTCAAGTACTAATTTTAAAATACAATTCGTATTCCTTTTTGCAGAAGCAGAAGCAGCGGCATCGCCAGATCTTGGTGGTACACCAGTACACTGCGCCACAATTGTATATAGTATCGAAAATACATACAACTTGTATCCACCGGCAACGGCGACTACATGCTGAGAAACATGAATTCGATTGGCGGATCTTAATCGTTAAATGGGTTTTCACTCAGCGGGGTATAGTGAAATTTCCTTATAGCCTGGCATGGGGCTTTTAAATATATATTGCTTATTAACTTTTATCTAACAGGACTTTTTGTATAATGCAAACATGGCGTATACTTGATATGTTCGTTAGAGATCATATTACTCATACGCAGAGGTGGCTGAAAAGCAAAAGTTACTCCATTTTTGTCTTGAAAATGTATTGTTTGATAAAACCATAATATCCTCTATACCCTATAGGGTATAACGAAATCCTCTTAGAACCAGTCACACTTTCCCCATTGTTCTCATTGTTTAATTTGTCTTGTGCCCTGCATTTCTGGCATTCTGCACACACATTTCAGGGCAGCACTTGATCCAGTTGCAAGCTGACCCTGAATGAAATGAATGCCACATGTCATCATCTAGGCAGCCTTTTTGATGATCATGCCTGGTGGACTCTAAGAGAAAATCAAATGTCTGGGCATCTGTTTTTTTCTGAAAGCTAAGAACAATTTTATTAGTTTGTTCTTTTTTCGTGGATTTGTTTGGCGAGCGATGATGAGGCAACCGAGAGAGTGTAATTAAATTTATTTACTGAGGCAAAAGCTGGCGTACAAAAGTGAATAGAGACATATCATCAACTAAAACAAACTAATTAATCAGATTTTTCATGAATTAGTCAATGGAAAATGGGCTTGCATTGTTCAAGAAGGGTCATTAGTTCAAAAACTTGAAATATGTTGTTTACAATTCTGTTTGAAATTCTCATTTTTGGCAACATTTTTACTTTTTACAACGGAAAAATCTTTTCCGCTTTCAGATCTCATTGCCTGCTGATATACACAATATATGGTTTGGCATTTTATTTTTGCATTTCATTTAATACTGATTTCGGCACTTTTTGGCTGGGGCTTCTGAAATGCCTTTTACTATTTGGGGCTAGAATTGTTGTTTTCGGTTTCAGTTGGAAATTGTGAGACATTTTGCCATAAATTATGCTAGGACCTTGAGGTGTCTATAGGGGCTAAAAACTTTCTGAGATATTCTGAGATGGCATGCTTTCCAAATGCAAACCAGAATGCATTTGCGGCTTGCGTCAATTTTATGGACCGCTTAGCTTTTTTAACTTTCAGCCGAAAGTGCAGCAGTGTCTAATTAATTAAATTTCGGCTGACAAATTTACGAGCCGCCAGGGGCAAAATGTTATTGAACTGATTTCTGACACGGGCTGGTGTGAATTGGGGCCACCAATACAAGAGAACGCCACCCGGCGATGATTGACAAGGCGGGCTATTTAGGGTGGCGGTGTCGGGGGTGGTATTCTTGGGGTCTTTGGGACTTACCCCCACGTTTGCTTCGTCGGCAAAACGGACGCGTTTCTTCAGTCCACTGCTGCTTCTCCGACGCCCGGGGGGTGGCAGAATGGGTGGCGGCAGTGGTGGGGCTCTCAAGTGGGATTGGCGAGGGGGTGGCGACTCGTAGCCGGATCCGGGCACCTTCCAGAAAGCCGGTCGCCCGTATGACGCGGCTGCCACTGATCTGCTGGTCGTCATTGCTGGCCAGCGACTAGCGTAAACAAAAGAAATGCTCCTCTCCACATTCACAAATGTTTGCCGAATTATTTATTTCTTTCTTATTACGAACAGCGCGCAGACGTCGGTGCGTCTGCTCACGGCTGCGTATGTGTGTGCACTACTGGGCAATTGAAAAAATCAAATAAAATAAAGGAAAGAATGAACAGAAATGAAAGCAAAACAAAAATTAATCATACCAAAACTATTTCAATGAGATTCAGGTGTATAAAATGAATAGAATGTTTACCTAAAGATGAAAAGGTACAATAATTTTATACATATAACTATAATTATATTTTTTACAAATTAACACATGTAGGCTTTCCTTTCAAGTTTAAATGCGACCGCCTTTCGGTGTGATATCGATAAATTAGTACATCATCCGATGATATCGTACATTTTTAGAACGATAGACCGTTACCAGGTCACACTAAAAAAGTTCTGAGGGTTTCCCGTTTAAATCAGCTAGTATAATAATATTTACAAATTTAATATTCTATATTAGTATCTTATTCTTTAATATTTTTTAATATAAGCCTATTATGTTTAAAAACTAGATATTTTCAAGCTGTTTCTAGAATTTCACAATCTGAAATTTGCATTAAAACTGCTATTTGGGCAACTCTGATAAGTTTCACTTTTTAATTTCGATGCATTCTGTTGATTAAATCTGAAACGGAGAGACATCGCGATTTGCATGGACCAAACAAAGAAACCCGCATATAGCTGAAAAATGTCTATTTTCAAGGCGCGGTAGGTATTACTTCCTGTGACATTAAAATCCAAGAGAGTAAACAGAGACTTTCCATTTTAAAACAGAGTTAAGGAATTCGAGGATGTTCTGGCGCCACCCCAAGATGAGATTGATCTGAAGCAGCTCCGGAGACTGGCTTTCAATGGTAATGTAACAAACATAGTTACTTTAAGTTACAAAAATCTAAATGACACCAATCCACAGGTGTGCCCGATGTACAAAGTTTTCGTGCCCTGAGCTGGAAGCTTCTACTTGGCTACTTGGCTCCCAAACGCAGTACTTGGGCATCCACTCTTGCCCAGAAGAGGGCACTTTATAAGCAATTCATTGAAGAGCTAGTTTTGCCCCCGGGACACTCAAATAACGGTGACTCAGGCTCCGGAGACCAGGCGGATTTGAGGGGCGTTGGCCTGCAAGATCATCCCCTGAGTGAGGGACCCGAAAGTGCTTGGAATACGTTTTTCAGCGACAACGAGTTCCTGCTGCAGATCGACAAGGATGTGCGGCGATTGTGTCCGGACATATCCTTCTTTCAACAGCCCACTGAATATCCCTGCACCATTGTAGTCCACAGCAAGGGGGAGCATGGGCGAAGACTGCACGAACGGGTGGTTCCCGCCGTTCTCAGCTCGGCAAATGTGGAGCGCAAGGGACTTGGTATGACCAAGGTGAGTTTAGTTCGGGAGATGTGCTAGAAATTAAGCTGAACTTGAGTTTATTTATGTCTGTCATTTGGACTTTAGCAGCAAGTAAGTGATCCCATACCCTTGAACGATATCCGACGTTATCAACTGATAAATAATGATTAAAAATATTTCCTTTACATCATTCAGATAAATTTGATTACCAAACGCTCTGTTGAAAACTATGCCGCAATGGAGGAGGGCCAAGAAGCCCACTGGGAGGTGGTGCAACGAATACTCTTTATTTACGCCAAACTGAATCCCGGGCAGGGCTATGTTCAAGGTATGAACGAGATTGTGGGACCTATTTACTATGTGATGGCCTCGGATCCGGATCTCTCCTATCGAGAACATGCCGAGGCGGATTGCTTTTTCTGCTTCACAGCTTTGATGAGCGAGATTAGAGACTTTTTCATCAAAACACTGGACGATGCCGAAGGCGGCATCAAATGCATGATGGCGAGGCTATCAAACATGTTAAAAGACAAAGATCCAAATATCTACGAGCGCCTGAAGACCCAGGAACTGCACCCGCAATACTACAGTTTCAGATGGCTCACCTTGCTCCTATCACAGGAGTTTCCACTGCCGGATGTGCTGCGCATTTGGGATTCCGTATTCTCCGACGAGCATCGTTTTGACTTTCTAATCAAGATCTGTTGCTCCATGATGTTGTAAGTCAGTGAAAGTTTTTATAAAGGCAGTATAACTTATAGTTCCTCTTTCCAGAATCCAAAGAGAAGCTATACTGGAAAACGACTTTGCGTCCAACGTGAAGCTGCTGCAAAACTATCCTCCAATCGATATCAATGTTGTGATCACCCACGCCGTTTCCTTAGCGTAGCAATAACCCCTTTATACTTGCCGAAGAATATCCCCCTCAAGGGCGATATAAACCAACCAAGCAATCAACTGCATTTTAGTTATAGCCCCTCGAAACGCACCTATACAGGAAATCCAATAATATACACTTGCTTTTTTTAAATAACCTATAATTTTTATACTTCATTAATAAACGAATCAATTTTAACATTTCGTGGCCCCAACATCAACTCATCGAAGAAGCTACGTAGGTTCGGTCAGTAGGATAAAATAACACTGATGTACAAGTGGCATCGTCTCAATATAACGTAAAACACCATTTTCAAGGATATTCATCACTTGTTAAGCTTGGGTGCCGTATCCTTGCAAATGGTCTGCGCAATAAACTCGATGAGGGTTCGCGTGGGGCGGCCAGCCATTCCCTGTCGCAGATATTCAAATTCATCGCCGCGAGTTATCATTACGTTGGTAGCATCCTATGGATGAAAAATTAGATACTCAAGCAAATTATTCACAAAATATATGGTATCCAGACTTACGATATGCATCCATTGTCCACAAGGCACAAATTCGCGCAGAAAAGCGGCGGCTTTGCAGGGACGTCCGCCACGGCCAATGCCGTAGTTCTGGACATCACTGCGGCCTCCGGCACGCACGGCCTTGCTATAGTAGTTCCACAGAGGAAGACGCCACACGCGATCGCCCGTGTGCATGCTGGCATGCTTGATCTGCTGCCACAAAATCTCAGAATTGGTAAACACGCCGCAGGCCGCCTCGTCCAAAGCTTGACGCATGTACCCGGAGCAAGTGCCGATATCGATAATGCACTTTGGACAGAAGTTCTGTCCATAAAGCAATGCATCGGCTAGCACCAGGACATCCTCGTGGTCGGTGCACTGGACTTCGATGGTCTTGCCGTTCATAGACTTGACCATATCTCCGGGACGGAACGAATTGCAACCAATTACGTTTTCGCACAGTGGAATAAGGCCGCGAATGTTAACCTGGAAGATGGACCAAGGGATTGAAGAACGATACGAGAAGGTAATCCTATGAACTCACCGGCAATCTCAGTCCAGCCACAGCTCGGCAAGTGGCCACCACTACAGCGGCTCCAGTCATGTCACCTCGCATGTGGAACAGCTCCTCCTTCTCCTTAAGGCACAGGCCACCAGCATCATAGGTCACGCCCTGACCCACAAGAACAATTGGGCGCTCTTCAGCGCAGGTTCCGTAGTAGCTCAACTCCAGGAAGATAGGTGGCTCACAGGAGGCCTTGCCCACCGCCAAGAAGGCGTGCATGGACTGACTCTCTGCCCAGCCCTCAACCTTGACCTCCACGTTGACACCAGATTTACAAAGTACCTCCACCACATTCTGAGCAAATGCAGTGGGTGTTAGAAGGTTAGAGGGCATCTCCTGGAGCTGGCGTGTAAGATTCTGGGCGGCTGCCTTCTGGAGTCCTATGCGCCATCCCTCGATATCACAAATCTCGTCCTTGGTGGCAAACAAATCAATGGACGGGACTGATATCCGGCGCTTGGGATCCCTCAGCTCTTGGTAGATCCAGATTCCCAGAGCGGCCCCCTCGGCGGCCGACTCGGCATGCCCGCAGTTCTCCACCTCGATACGGTCTGTATCGATTTCGGCGAGAATACGGCAGGCATCCGCCACCGATCGCCGGATAGCCTCCTTCTGCTCGTCGAGGACCTCGTAGGGATTGTAGCCCAGGCACTCCTTGCCCAGCCCGATGACCGCCACAGCCGAGTAATAGGGTACCCGCTCTGGTTCCACGGCAAAGATCAGGCGGGTCTCGCCGCGCTTGGGCATGGGTCCCGACATCCGCAGCACCTCCAGCAAGCGCCCGTGGGTCTTCTGTACGTTGTACCGCCATCCGGTCGGTGTGAGGATGCCAGCGTCGTTCTTGTCCTCCTCATCGGCATACACACCTACGACCAGGCCGCGCGACGGTGGGTCCGCACAGATCTCCATCTGCTGGAGCTGCAGCATCTGGTTGATGGCTTGCGAGGCATAGCGGCACTGCCGCTGCACGACCAACGCTCGGGGACGACCGACACCGAAGGCACACGCACGTGCGAAAGCGTTGCGGGAGAACCGGTACATTTTTTCAGATTGAAGTTGAACTTAAACTTTGACAATTCGGATACAAAAATACTACCAATATTGTAAAACTTGCAGTTCGATTTGCTGTGCCGCCTTTAAAATATATTCCTTAAAATTTTTTCCGCCAAGACTAGCTAAATTTGTGTACGTGTTCAACCTCAAAAAGAATAAAAATGAGACTGATCAGCTCGCCGGCTTGGCACTGGGACAAAGGGACACTGACAGAAGACACACCAGGTTGCTTGTTTTGAAAAATTTCAACACCGCCTTTTCAAATACCCCGGCAACTCCGTTTTAATATTTCATTTCATATTTTATTTTATTTTATCGGTCCACATCGAAAGCCATAAAGAAAAAAAGCCATTTTTTAGATTTTTTCTCAAATTTTGTGGAGGGTCCCCTTCAAAATGGGGCAAAATGCATAGAGGGACAAAACGGTCTACAGCGAAAGCCATATCTTGGCCAATTCTCATCCGATTCTGGAACGGAATACCTTAAAAGATTTCCGGCTAGATTCTCCATCATTCTGCATTGAAATCTGGAAACCAAATATTTTTTAGATTTTTTCTCAAATTTTCTGGTGGGTCCTTTTCAAAATGGGGCAAATTGCATAGAGGGACAAAACGGTCAACAGCGAAAGCCATATTTTGGCCAATTCTCATCCGTTTCTGAAACGGGATACCTTAAACGATTGCTAGATAAATTCTCCATCGTTCTGCATTAAAACCTGGAAACAAAATATTTTTGAGATTTTTTCTCAAATTTTGTGGAGGGTTCCCTTCAAAATGGGGCAAATTGCATAGAGGGACAAAGCGGTCCACATCGAAAGCCATATCTCGGCCAATTCTCATCCGATTCTGAAACGGAATACCTTAAACGATTTCTGGATAGATTCTCCATCATTCTGCATTAAAACCTGGAAACAAAATATTTTTGAGATTTTTTCTCAAATTTTGTGGAGGGTTCCCTTCAAAATGGGGCAAATTGCATAGAGGGACAAAGCGGTCCACATCGAAAGCCATATCTCGGCCAATTCTCATCCGATTCTGAAACGGAATACCTTAAACGATTGCTAGATAAATTCTCCATCGTTCTGCATTAAAACCTGGAAACAAAATATTTTTGAGATTTTTTTCTCAAATTTTGTGGAGGGTCCCCTTCAAAATGGGGCAAATTGCATAGAGGGACAAAGCGGTCCACATCGAAAGCCATATATCGGCCAATTCTCATCCGATTCTGGAACGGAATACCTTAAACGATTGCTAGATAGATTCTCCATCATTCTGCATTAAAACCTGGAAACAAAATATTTTTGAAATTTTTTCTTAAATTTTGTGGAAGGGGACCCTTCAAAATGGGGCAAATTGCATAGAGGGACAAAACGATCCACATCGCAAGCCATATCTTGGCCAATTCTCATCCGATTCTGAAACGGGATACCTTAAACGATTGCTAGATAAATTCTCCATCGTTCTGCATTAAAACCTGGAAACAAAATATTTTTGAGATTTTTTTCTCAAATTTTGTGGAGGGTCCCCTTCAAAATGGGGCAAAATGCATAAGGGACAAAACGGTCCACAGCGAAAGCCATATCTTGGCCAATTCTCATCCGATTCTGGAACGGAATACCTTAAACGATTGCTAGATAGATTCTCCATCATTCTGCATTAAAACCTGGAAACAAAATATTTTTGGAATTTTTTCTTAAATTTTGTGGAAGGGGACCCTTCAAAATGGGGCAAATTGCATAGAGGGACAAAACGATCCACATCGCAAGCCATATCTTGGCCAATTCTCATCCGATTCTGAAACGGGATACCTTAAACGATTGCTAGATAAATTCTCCATCGTTCTGCATTAAAACCTGGAAACAAAATATTTTTAAGATTTTTTCTGAAATTTTGTGGAGGGTCCCCTTCAAAATTGGGCAAATTGCATAGAGGGACAAAGCGGTCCACATCGAAAGCCATATCTCGGCCAATTCTCATCCGATTCTGAAACGGAATACCTTAAACGATTTCTGGATAGATTCTCCATCATTCTGCATTAAAACCTGGAAACAAAATATTTTTGAGATTTTTTCTTAAATTTTGTGGAAGGGGACCCTTCAAAATGGGGCAAATTGCATAGAGGGACAAAACGATCCACATCGCAAGCCATATCTTGGCCAATTCTCATCCGATACTGAAACGGGATACCTTAAACGATTGCTAGATAAATTCTCCATCGTTCTGCATTAAAACCTGGAAACAAAATATTTTTGAGATTTTTTCTGAAATTTTGTGGAGGGTCCCCTTCAAAATGGGGCAAATTGCATAGAGGGACAAAGCGGTCCACATCGAAAGCCATATCTCGGCCAATTCTCATCCGATTCTGAAACGGAATACCTTAAACGATTTCTGGATAGATTCTCCATCATTCTGCATTCAAATCTGGAAACAAAATATTTTTGAGATTTTTTCTGAAATTTTGTGGAGGGTCCCCTTCAAAAATCCACAAAAGTGGGTCCACCCACTATATGGCCCCTGGTGAAGGCTATATCTTTGGCAATATTTATCAGATTCTTCATCGGAATACCTTAAACGATTCGTGGATCGATTCTCTATCAATCTGCATTAAAATCTGGAAACAAATTATTTTTTCGATTTTTTGTCAAAATTTCTGGGGAGTCCCATCCGGAAATGGAGAAAATGCTTGGAAGCCCTATATGGCCCACAGCGATGACTATATCTTGGTCAATTTTTATCAGATTCTTAAGTGGAATACCTTAAACGGGACAAAACGGTCCACATCGAAAGCTATATCTCGGCCAAGTTATACGTAATTTTCAGCCCAAAAAAAACCATTTTTTAACATTTGTTTTATGAAACATAGCTTTATTGGTCTGCAATCTGTCAAATCCTCAAAATCCCCATTTTTATTAATTTTTTATTTTATCATGTTCTTCACTGCGACCAAAATTGAAATTGAAAACCCGCTGCAAAGGTATTAAAACAATCGTATTTGAGGGTTAAAATTTATTTTTTTTTGACTAAAAATACAAACAAAAATATTTGCGGGGCCGAGAAACAACCTTGCTTGCAATTTTGTTGGGACTGGACTTAATGACAGGACTAATCCAACCCCGGATAACTTCATAAAAATATAAAAAATCGCCAAATATGTACGTGATGTTAGGCTTCTTTATCACCTTCGGGGCTGTGCCTTTCAGGTGCTGTTCAGTAACCCTCGTCCTTATATTCATTGCATTATTTTCCCATCTTAGGAGCAGTGTCCTTGCAGATAGTTTGCGCAATGAACTCAATAAGGGTACGCGTGGGACGACCTGCCATTCCACGACGTAGGTACTCGAAGTCCAGCCCGTTGGTGACCATCACATTGGTAGCGTCCTGAAAAAGGATTTAAGGACGTAAAGTCTAGTAAGGATTTTATTAACAATTTGAGAAATACTTACAATATGCATCCATTGTCCACAGGGTACGAATTCACGAAGGAAGGCGGCAGCTTTGCAGGGACGACCACCACGGCCAATACCGTAGTTCTGGACATCACTGCGGTTTCCGGCACGCACGGCCTTGCTGTAGTAGTTCCACAGAGGGAAACGCCACACCCGATCACCGGTGTGCATACTGGCGTGCTTTATCTGCTGCCACAGGATCTCTGAATTGGTGAACACGCCAGCGGCAGCCTCATCTAAGGCCTGTCTCATATAACCGGAACAGGTTCCGATATCTATGATACACTTGGGACAGAAATTCTGGGCGTACAACAGAGCATCTGCCAGCACCAAGACATCCTCGTGGTCGGTGCACTGGACTTCGATGGTCTTGCCGTTCATAGACTTGACCATGTCTCCAGGACGGAAAGAATTGCAACCGATCACGTTCTCGCACAGCGGGATAAGGCCACGAATGTTAACCTAAATAATCAGACAAGGGATGATGCAAAGATTGGAAGAGGTAATCCAATGGACTTACCGGCAACCTCAGTCCAGCCACAGCTCGGCAAGTGGCAACAACCACTGCTGCTCCAGTCATGTCGCCTCGCATATTGAAAAGTTCCTTCTTTTGCTTCAAACACAGACCGCCGGCATCGTACGTGATTCCTTGACCGACCAGGACGATCGGCCGCTCCTCCGCACACGTTCCGTAGTAGCTCAGCTCCAGGAAGATGGGTGGCTCACAGGAGGCCTTGCCCACCGCCAGGAAGGCGTGCATGGACTGGCTCTCCGCCCAGCCCTCGACTTTCACCTCTACGTTGACTCCCGATTTACAGAGCACCTCGACGACATTCTGGGCAAAGGCAGTGGGAGTCAGAAGGTTAGAGGGCATCTCCTGCAGTTGTCGCGTAAGATTCTGGGCGGCAGCCTTCTGTAAGCCAATGCGCCAACCCTCAATGTCGCACACCTCGTCCTTGGTGGCGTACAAATCAATGGCTGGGACGAAGATGCGGCTCTTCGGGTCACGGAGTTCCTGGTATAACCAGATTCCGAGCGCTGCACCTTCAGCAGCGGATTCGGCGTGCCCACAGTTCTCTACTTCGATACGGTCCGTATCTAGCTCAGCGAGGATGCGGCATGCGGCAGCAACCGAGCGACGGATAGCCTCCTTCTGCTCATCAAGAACCTCGTACGGATTGTAGCCAAGGCACTCTTTGCCCAGACCCACGACCGCCACCACGGAGTAGTAGGGGATGCGTTCAGGCTCCACCGCAAACAAGAGTCGGGCCTCGCCTCGCTTGGGCATGGGTCCAGACATCCGAAGGACCTCGATGAGGCGACCTTTTGTCTTCTGGAGATTGTACCGCCAGCCAGCGGGAGTAAGAATGCCCGCATCGTTCTTGTCCTCCTCATCAGCGTACACACCGATCACGAGGGCTCGCGATGGCTGGTCCGCACAGATGTCCATCTGCTGGAGGAGCAACATCTGGTTGATGGCCTGAGAGGCGTACGACCGCCGGATAACTTTCGCCGCATACTGACGACATACCGGCGACTTTCTGCATATCCGGAAAAGCAACTTACGCGAGAGTCGGAACATTGCTCAGCTGCCTCACTTGGCTCGAAGGAACAACACAAAAAAAAAGAGGAAAATGAGAGTAAACCGTTGTAGTCCAAAAATTTTTCACTTTAAATTTCCAAACGTATAAAATTTTGGGGCACCAATAAAAGGTAGTTAAAAAAAAAATTACGGCCAAAAACTAATATTCCTATTTTATTAGGACACAATTTTACAAATAATTTATATTAAGTTGTTTACTCTATGAGACGTTGACGGATACTGAGCTCTAGGCACAGCCTTGTCGTAGGAGAACTTTGACAAACGAGAATTTGGATGAAAAATGGTTCCAAGGTCTACTTTGATGGGTAGAAAAAAAAACACCCAAAAATATTTATTTTCATTTTTTATTTACCATACTCAGCATAATCAATTAGGTACAATTCGTTCGTTATTTAATACTGCTTAACCTTTTTACTTTTTTTTAGACCCAAACTAGACATAGACACATACACATATCGAGAACGTTTTGTGGTTACATTACAGAGTATATTTCGTATTTACTTTAATATTACTCATTTAGTTGTTAACTACTACTAATAGATATTTCTGTATATAAAATAACAATGGCTATCGAACATATCTATTCGTAATTCCACAATTACAATCCTTGTACTTCAAATATGCTTATTGGTTTTCCATATCGTGTATATATAGTTTATGGAAATCGAGCTTTGTGGGTTGCCGTTGCCTGGGGATATGTTTCAGTTAAAAAATGGCATCAGATTGGTATTTGTTTTGGTGGGGTGTGTGTGGTTTCGATACGAAAATATGCATTTGAAGTATATATATGTAGTTATTACGTTTTAAGGACAACAGTTGGTAATCGGAGTTCAACAAAGACTAGCATAAACTTTGAAAGAGTGCAACAATCTAGGGGTGCGCAGAGCACATAAGAGGCACATTAGTTATATTACTTTTTCTTTGAGCAACAGTAGCATAGAGACTAGAGTGTTAGACAGCTGTGAGTATCCATGATCCTTGGAACGACTCTGGTACTTTGGCAATTCGTCAGCAAAATCAAAATCCATCTCCGGTTTTTGTACAAAATCAAGACCGCTTACCCAACGAAAGCGGCATAGCTCTGGTTAATGGGCTTTCAAGAAAGTGGTTACCCATAATTGCAAATCTTAGAGTTGCAATCACAAAATCGTAGTCACGGTCACCGGCATACCATCCGCGTTTACGGCTCTTTCCGTCTGCACCCTGGTGCCGAAGCTCTCCACGCTGGTGGCCTTGCTCAGGTCAATGGCCGGCACGTCCTCGTCGTAGTCGGATGCCAGCTCCTCCTCCGCCAAGTAACTGCACTTGGGCGGCTTCACCGGATGCGGGTGATGCTGCTCCTGTTCGTGAAAGAAGTGCGTGCGGGCCATGTAGATGATCCCGTCGTCCGTATCCTCGTCGTCCGTGTGGCGCATCGAATAGTGTCCGTACCCCGCCTCGCACTGGTACGGATTGGACTTTACGTGGACGTTCCGGCAGCTGCCGCCGCAGTTATGATGACTCTCCGCATCCCCGCCATTGGCACCGTAGCAGTGGCCTCGATGCAGGGACTGGCCACCAGAATGGGCAGCGCCATGACCCACCAGATGACCCGCCGAGTGCGTGTGCTGACCCACCCCAGCTGCCGCGCTGCTGGAGTGGGCCACTGACTGCTAGATGTGCGAGTGGGAGCGGGCTATCGACAGCGAATAGGGACTCAGATCCTTCTGGATCCGCATGGAATCGTAGATGGGAAACTCGCAGCACAGGATGAACTTCAGGGCACTGGGCACCTCCACATAAACAGCAGGTGGCACTGGGATCAGCGGTGATGTGGACGCCTTGTACTTTCGGTACTCCAACTGACTGGATGGTGACAAATACACTTAAAGGATTGACCCTCTCTAAGATTGGGAATAGAAACTTACTCTTTGTACTTCTCATCGGCACTGCGTTCTCTCAGGGGAATGCCTGAGAGGAAGAGTATGATCAATGTGGTAAAAATTGGCGAGGCAATGGCCACCCATTCGTGTCCACTGATCACATTCAAGGATATGGCGAAAATTCCCCACCAGATCACAACTTCACCAAAGTAATTAGGATGCCGTGAGACACTCCAAAGTCCTTTCAAAGAATGACATTGTAAACCAAATACTAAAGATCTAATTGAAGTCCTTACCATCGTTACAAAACTTTCCCTGATTAGCCGGGTCCTGGCGAAAGGAGAACTTCTGGAGATCTGCATAGGTCTCTGCCAGTAATCCCACAATGAACATGCCCGTGCCCGTGGAGTCCAAAGTGGTCATCGTCTTTGGGGCATGCGGCTGGGAGTGGCGCGGAGAGTTGATGATAATAACCGGCAGTGATACGATGTACACCCACACGGCCTGCAGATGCAGAAAGAAAGTAATATAAAAATTCAAACCAAGCAATAAATTGTCCAGAAAGTCCATTAAATTTGGCAATTTCTCTCACAAAATACAGTGGCAGTGATTCGACTTGCAACAAGTGATTGGAATTCGGGTGAAATGGGAAATAAATTCAGACAAAACGATAGTGGGACATGCCACATGCAGCACGCCAACGCCAACGCCAACGCCAGTTGGCCACAGAGCTCATATGGAATGAAGGGCGGACAAAATGCAACCAGCCACCCCACCACCCAACATGCAACACCCGGCCCACCCAACGTTTAGCAGGCGTCGCCCACATGTGTCATGTCTCTGCCAAAGAGAATGGCGTTTTAATTGTTGGTCGGTTTGGTTCTGGCCGGGATGGGTTTTTGGTAGTGCTATTACCACCACCCAACCACCCACCTTTCTGCCTCATTGAAATTTGCATTGGGCCGACGTGGGGTTTACGGTTGGACAAGTGCTGAAATATGAAATATGCACAACCTTTGTGCTCGTGTCAATTAGTGACAGTTTGATTGATTTTCCACCTCCAAGTTGAAGGTTCTGTCATTGAGGCAAAACCCGAATGCGACTGGCTGACGCAATGATTTCGATTGCACCTCAATGCCCTTGCCCATGCCTGTTGCCCCTGGGCTTTTGGTTATGAACCCACCTGGAAGGTCCAGAAGACCGCATATCGGATGATGTTGCGGCGGGTATCCTCGAATTGTTTGTCGCGGCCCAGCTTGATGATCCGATAGAGCAGATATCCGGACAGTCGGGCTCCCCACAAACAAACGAAGAGTGTAACCATCAACTGGCGACTGTCATAGGCCTGAAAATAATAGAGAAAAATAGTTTAAATAACTAAGAATATATCATTCTATCTTTGATGAATGGTGTCCTAATAATCTCTAAATCTATGATTATTCATTTGATTTTATTTAATTGATAGAACCTATTAACATTTATCTTCATAAATACTTTAACATTTTCCACTATTTTGGAAAACTTTTCTCTGTAAAACACGCAAAAAACAATCAAAGCTAGGTCAATAAGTTTGTTGGGAAAGTTTTGGAGAAATTGCAGGCATGCTTGAGCCATAAAATAGTTCGGTGTGGAGGCAAGTGGTCTGCATTGCAATAAACATTTCGTGGTTTGCCATTTACCGAATGAGATGTATTTATATTCCGGGCCAAGTGAAAGTTAGAGTTCAAGGCTGAGGCTAATATCCTTGGACAGGAAGCCGCTCTGTTGTAACTATTTCAGTACCTGTATCTCCCAAAAAAAAAAAATAAAGCCACAAAAAGCAAGTCCATTTCTAAGCCAGGATGGTTATGGCCGGCAAACGCTCAAAAATTCATTGCCCAACGAGCAATTTGCAGAAGCTTTTCATTTTTTCCGCGTCAGAGAACGTTTTTTATTTTCATTTTTTTTTTTTTTTGGTACATTTTATTTTACAAAACCACTTGTGCTGGTCAGTTTGGTCATGCAAATTTTGCATAAATAAAGCTCAGCACGCACGAGTACCAGAGGTTGTGTTTGCACCACTATTCGCACCACCTGCCAAAGTGGCCATTCGGCTGGCTGCAAGTCCATGGATGAGTGGTTTGAGTTGGTTGGTTCAATAATGAATGAGTCGGCTGCACTTTGCATATTTATAAACGGCATTGATGGTGTATACGAGTATAGCCCCGGGACTGGATCCGGCCCCGACCCCAGGCCGAATCTGAAATCAGAAATGCCTTTCGCATCGAGGAGCGATGGCGGCCCATCAGAAATGGCTCATGAAAAATGCAGAAAAAATTGTTAAATTGCTTTGTCAATGGCAGTGAAAGTGCACTGCTCATGACCGTAACCGTGGATGTATACGGTACACTGTACAGTACCCGGGTGAGGTCATGACTATAAGGCTGTCTGGGCCAAGTTGATAGCTTAATGGGTTTGTCGTTTGCGTTTGAGCTCATCCTCCACACCCTTCCGCAGCTGTCCTCCTCCTGCCCGATTGCCTATTTTGTAGTTTGATTGAGCTGCCTTTCAGCCAAGGCTTAAGCTATTTTATCGCTCGATTTATTAAACGAGTCTGAACAGCGATAAACCATCGGCAGGCGACTGCAGTAAAGCATTTTTATGGCTGCCACATGCACGTCCTTACGGGGATACAAAAAAAACATCACCCACACACAAATACAGATGCAGATGCATAAAATTGCGGAACAAGCAACAACAGCCACAAGCAATGGCAGCACTTCCGTTTCCGCATCCGTCTGACAACGTGCTTCTGCCTCTTACCTCTCGTCCTCTTCCTCCTTTTTTCGTCTTTTTCCTGATTTCGGATTTACATGCAATCTTGGAAAACTAACTTAACTTTTACAGCTGGCGGCAAAAGTTAATTGATTGATTAATTTAATTTTCTTGGCCGCCATTTTCATCGACCACTTATTATTCTCGGCATGAGATTTATAGCCTCTTTAATTTCCAATCGATATTCAATTTGTTTTTGTCGTCTATAAAACATTTGTCCCCGTTGCCAGCATTCACTAATATGTGGGAGTAAGAATTAAATGCAATCTGCCTGCAATCTGGTTTATTTATTTCAATGCCTCTGTTTTTGGTCAACGAGGAGGCCAACAACATATATGAATTTATTTCTCAATTTTGGGAAAACTGTCCATTTTGTCAGTTCATTTTGTCCAAAATTGTTAAGGTCCTAACAAGCTTTGATGGTTTATTTGGGTAAATCGATACTTTTGTTTGGGCCATTTTAAATGGAAAACTGAAACTGAGGCTTACTTGGGGCTTTTGTTTGATATTTACTTTCAGAAACCTATATCATTTCATTGGATAATTAAGAACCATTAAGAGCTTTTAATAAACTGCGTAATAATTGTGGCTTAAACAGGAACTGGAACTTAATTAAGCGGAAATTATGGTTGGGAAAATGGCCAAGAAGCTATAAAGTCACATTAATTACAGCTGCAAATTGGTTCATAAATTTCAAGAAAACAAAATTCTATTTTCTCTTTTCTTTGCCCATTTTTGTGGTCTAGACGTCCTTTTAATTGACCTCCTTTTGAATCTTGATTAAATGAAATAATTTAGAATATATATAGGCAATATTTTAAGTAGTGTGGATGCAAACCATGGTGTTTAAGTGTCGACGCTTAAGATAAGCATCCTTTTCTCATGGCCTATCGCTTTTTGTTTATGAAAGAAAAGCAGCGCAAGTGGCTATCAAGCTTTGATTAATTAATTGAAAATTGTGAGCCATACTGATGGATGGATAGATGGATGGATGGATGAATGAATGAATGAATGGGGAAAATTGGCTTGGAGAAAATCGCTTTTTCAAGCTGCCCGCAAATAGCGTTAGTTAGCTGCTTAGGCACCGTGTTAGGCCGGGCGGAAGGACATGCCGACAGACAGATTGAGGACCCTCACGATGCCAAGGTCATGCCACAAGCCAGATATCTATGTACATATATACGGCCAACAGCAACAACAATAGATACAAGAACAAAAACAGGCAACAAACAACAAGAAACAACAGCAGAAACGTGGAGCTCGCTGGGCGTAACCTTTTGTTTGTTGGCAATGGGATGTCTGTGTAAATGTATCTGTATCTGCAGCTGTAGTCGTGTATCTGTGTGTGTGTCTGTTGATGTTTATGTCTGCGTGCGTATGCGAAACTCAGTTTTCAATGTCAGCAGCCACAACCCTTCACCCCACCCACCCACTTTCACTACCGAACCCTTCATGCTCAGTTGGGTGACATGTTTATGTGTCCGTTTAAGGTTCACAAAATTTAATTTTTCAAAAACAGAAAAATAAACAAAATCTCACATAAAGCACACATAATGCAAAGCCAGTCGAGGAAAAATGTCCTCGACTGTAAATATTTAATATGATTTATGGGAAAAGGGCATTTAACCTTCATATGTATTGTTTGAATTGTTTGTTTTCGGCCTTGATAAATATTTTGGAATTTATTTTATTTACGAGTTTTATAAATTATAACTTACCTTCGAAGGTCGATCTATTTGGCCAAGAAAGAACGTCAACAGTGAGATGATGATGAAGTTAACACCGCCGGCAAAGTCCGTCAGCTTGTCCATGTGGAGCATCGAGTTGACCAGGAAGAAGAACAACTGCAGACTGCCCACAACGATCGCACTAATGGCGAAGTGATCGTAGTCCAGGACGTGAACGGCCATTGCAGGTCCTCGGATCAGCAACAGGTCCTTTAATATTGCAAAATGTCTCGCCTTTACATCGCTTCACTCACACTTTCACTTTCACTTTCGCTTCACCACCGCCACCTTCCATAATGTCTGTCTACATTCTGTGTTGGGTGGGTGGATGGCCTTGGGATGGGTTCTGGTGGTGCTGCTTTTATAGCCGAGTGGTTGGCCGGCAGCCAAGGAGTCTCTCTCCGCCCTTTTTTTGTATTTTTTTGGGGCCGCTTGTTGATTACGTATTTATGTGATGATTGTTTATTTGGGGTCGCCCCTGTAAAGTGCAATAAATAATGCAATTTGTACTCGCTGTGGCAGCAGCAGGTTATTTGCTAAATGAAAACTTAATTCAATTTCTTTCGCTCAGCGGCACGCAAAACATCCTCCTCCTTAACTGTTCCCCTCAACCTCTTTCAGGCACATTTTCCCGCCAATTTAAATACAATTTTTTAGCATAACCAAGTTGACTTGGCAACAATCTCAAACCGAAACCATTCTGTGTGCATTGAGCCGACAAATCGTTGGAAAAACGTGAAGTAGAGCAACATGCTATCCTAAGGATATACTGTGTGTGTGTATGTCCTCGAATGGTTTATATGGCACATACTTGAGCTGGCTGGTTTAACTTCTTGAGCCTTTATTTGCCTCTTGTGCTTGACTGCATTTGCACTGCTCTTTCCAGGCAGGCCTCCTCTAGTATCCTATCGTCCTTTGGGGACAGCATTTCCAGCCTGCATACATAATTAACAAATTTGTTCAAGATGCCAAGCAAGTAATGGTTAAAAAATGTAAATAAAAGCTTACGACTGCCATGTGTATAAGGGTTTGGTTTTTCGATTTAAGAGGAAAGGATTACCTTGTGATTCTGCGAAATCTGACCATCAACCGAAGTTGGTTAAAGGCAGGAAAAGCCAACAAGAATCGATTTTCGCACAAGGTAATGGAGTCCCTGGGAACTCTGGCAAAAATTTACTGCCGACGGATTAGCCGTGTTCGAGATTCCTCTCGAAATGAATGGCTTTCTGTAGCTTTCCGGTGCTCCGGAAGCTTGTTATACAGCTCAATTAAAATTCCATTTTGATGGATTTTTTCATTCATTCAAGCGATTCCCTGGCCGAATGATGAAATTGCTTTTGCAGCGTTATTATTTGCACGGAATTTTAATTGGATATGAAAAATGCATAAATAAATACAATTTCCGAAAAACAATTGTTAAATTGAGCACTTTAAGCGTCACTTTTGTTACGTAATTTAAATTAATTCTATTTTATATTGTGGTTCGTTTTAATAGCCAATAGTAGGTGTTATTATCTCGGCTTAAAACAGATTACAAGAGCCCATTGAAAGTCACAGTTCATTTGGAAATTGATTGATTTTGCAATCTAGATTGCAAGCTTTCTGAGAAGGATATCTTAGAATATGGATATCTCTTGTGTGCTCTGTTAATTGGAAAATTGCAAATATGCAAATTCAACCTGACACTTTGCTAATTTGCGATGTCAGGCAAGCACACACACACACACCCACACCTAATCCTATTGTCGTGGAATTTCTGACACTTCTTGCCATTCCGCCTGACGGCCCCCAAAGGTATGCTACACTTTTTTTGTCGCGATACGCCAAAGAAATGCATCAGCATTTCACATTCATTAAAGCAACACCCGCGGCGCATTCAAGGCCCAAAAAACAAAGGCGGCAGGCGTGTTAAATCTGCCTCCCGTAAAAAAAAACAAAGGCCCCTTTATAACAAAAAAAGATTATAAAATAACAAAAGTTATGAATATAAAATTTGGGTTTTATTGGGGCTGTTTAAAGTTTTCAAATGAATAATTAACAGATAAAATTATTAAGCAGAAATTTCATTTTCACCAGAATCTTAATCATTTTTCTGTTATTTAATTCATCTATTTAAATTTTCCTAAGTGCATTTATGCAAATATGTGTGTATCCTCAGTCAGCTGTGCCATGAAGTCTGTCCTTTGCCACTTGGCTTGTTGTCATTGTTGCTGTTGTTTGTGTAACTTTGCATTTCTTTGCCTCGCTTGGCTGGTGGCTGGTGGATGCCCCCCGTCTCAGGAGTGTGCCAAGAGAAGTGAGGGAATCCGGCCGTACAGGGGTTATTCGTTGCCGCAAGACATTGGAAAGGTGTCTGCCAGGCTGTCACTCACACTCACCACAACTCACTGCAGTTGTTTGTTGTTATTCTTCTGTGTGTGTTTTTGCATCTTGGGCAAAAATTTGCATATACGACCAACAAAGTGTATCCTGTACCCTGGTACCCTGTCGCTGTCCTGGACAAATACCACTATCCTCAAGCTGTGGGCACTCTTTTTTTTTTTTTTTTTTTTTATTTTAACGTTGCTTTTATTTCTTGAATCTTCTCTTTGCGAGACTAACAAGAGGTGTATCAAATCTTATATTTTTAACTTAACTAACAGTCATATTGACTGATACGGAGTTAGACGGCCCTAAAAATCGATTGCTGGGTTGGGAGGTCGTTGCGTCTAAGGCGGGATACGCTAGAAACCCGAGTCAATCCCCGAGCGAGAAAATTTGGGTGCGAAGACAGTTTTTCTTTGTATAACTCTTTTTGCTTCTGGATTTCGTCTTTCACTGCGAGGATGCCCAGATCCCGGTGGATGTTTTCGTTGCGAACATACCAAGGTGCCCCTGTGATAGTTCTCAGGATTTTTGATTGTGCGCGCTGTATGATGTCTATGTTGCTGCTGCTCGCGTTCCCCCACAGCTGGGAGCCATACGTCCAGATTGGCTTTAGGACTGAATTGTACAGTAGTAACTTGTAGTCTAGGCACAGTGGCGATCGTGAGTTTATGATCCAGTGGAGGCTGCTGGCTTTCAGTTTTAGATGCATCTTTTTGCATTCGATGTGCTTACGCCAGGTAAGTCGTCTATCAAGGTGAACGCCAAGGTACGTTACGTCGTTAGCTTGAGGGATCTGCATGCCGTTTAGTAAAAGCGGAGGGCATGTTTGTCTATTAAGAGTAAACGTTATATGTTTACACTTTTGTTCGTTTATTTTAATGCGCCAGTCGGACAGCCACCTTTCCACTATTGTGAGATGATTAGCCAGTTGGGTTGTTGCCTGCGTTGGGCATCTGGAGCGACTAAGGATAGCGGTATCATCGGCGAACGTTGACGTTGTTAGTTGTGCGCTCGTAGGAATATCCGCAGTATACAAAACATATAGACACGGCCCGAGTGCGCTTCCCTGTGGAACTCCAGCTTCGATGGTGTAGTCGCCCGAAGTAGCTGCGTTGCATCTCACTGAGAATACCCTATTGAAGAGGTATGATTCCAGTAGCTTGTGGGTGTATGTTGGCAAATACGTTTTAATTTTGTGCATGAGTCCGATGAGCCAAACTCGGTCGAAAGCTTGAGATACGTCGAGGAAAATAGCGCTGCAGTATTCTCGTTGTTCGAAGGCTGAGCGTATTTCGGATGTTAATCTGTTCACTTGTTCGATGGTTCCATGGTTTCTTCGAAAGCCAAATTGGTGTGCCGGGATGATATTGCAAGCTTCCAAATGTGGTATTATGCGAGTTAACAAGCATTTTTCAAACAGTTTAGACAAACAAGATAGAAGGCTTATTGGTCTGTATGATGACGGAATTGTGTGGTCTTTTCCAGGCTTCGGAATCATTATAATAATGGATTTCTTCCACTTTTTTGGGAAATAGCCAAGATTAATGATTCCATTAAATAGTTTGCAGACGACCTCTATAGCGCATTTTGGAAGTTCGATCAGCATCTTTGGGGTCAATAGGTCACCACCGGGAGCCTTTTTTGGTTTTAGCTCTCTTATGACTTTTTCGATTTCGTTCGGCCGGAATGGAGGTGCGGCTGGCTGAGGGGAGGACTCTGGCTGAATTACTGGCAGGAGGAATGAATTTGAGGCTGGGTTTGGCTGGAAGACACTTTGGAGATGTGTGGCGAATGTTTCAGCTCGGTCTTCGTTGCTGCGAGCCCAGCATCCCGAAGAGTTTCTTATCGGGGTGGTCGTTTCAATTGGGGCACTAAGATTTGGGTGGGCCCTCCACAGGGGGTACTTTGTGCTTGTTGGCGAGAGATTCTGGATGTACCTCAGCTGTGCATTTTCTTCCTGTTGGTGAAGAGCCTGGTCGAGTGATCGGGTTGCTTCCTTAAGGCGTTGTTTTGAAGCTGGTGATCTGCTGTTTTGCCAATCACGACGCGTGCGCCTCTTTTCTCGCACGAGCTGTTCGATTTGCTGATTAGATTTGTAGTGTTTGTTTCGGTCTACTTCTTTCCTATGAGGAGTAGAGATTTTAGCTGCCGCAACGAGTACTTCTTCCAGGGCGCTCGTAGTGTAGTCGATGTCCGATTCCATGTTAAAATCCGGGGCGAGTTCTATGTGGGCACTCACGTACTTTTTGTATTTTAGCCAGTTTGTTTTTGTCGTCGTCAGACTGAAGGGGTGTTCGGTTATTTCTGGGCTTTGAAGAAGCGTTAGAAGCACAGGCGAGTGGTCTGATGATAAGTCCGAGACTGCTTTGGCACTTATTAGATTGCGAGGTATGTTTTTTGTCACTGCAAAATCAATAAGGTCTGGGAGCTTTCGTGAGTCTGTTGGCCAGTATGTGGGACTTCCAGGGGAAACGTAGTCCAGTTTATTTTTCACATTTATAATTGCATTGTACAATTGTCTTCCTTTGGGAGTCACTAGACGTGATCCCCAGTGCGTATGTTTGGCGTTGTAGTCTCCTGCGGCTATAAATCGATCCCCAAGTGAATTGTAGAAGTCCATAAATTGTCCTTCCGAGATTGAGAAGCGAGGAGGGCAGTAAACGGCAGCAATTGAAAGGATTCCGTTGCTTGACTGAATTTGTATCGATGTGGCCTGCAAGAAGTTTGTTGCAAACCTTTTGTGAAAATGGTGTTTAATTCGTTCTCTGATTAGAACTCCAGTTCCGCCGTGGGCTTTCCCATCTGGATGATCTGTGCGGTAGATTGTGTAGCCTCTTATATGAAAGTTGTATTTGCTTGTAAGATGCGTTTCCACCAGTAGCATAACGTCAATATGGTTTTCGGTCAAGAATTGTGACAATTCTAGTTTATGCCGTGAGACACCATTGGCGTTCCACATTGATATTCGTAGCGCCTGCATAGATTATTTGGACTGTTGTGCTACGAGCAGCTGTATCACCATGTTCTGGTTTTGAACAAGCGTTTGCATGGTCGTTTTCATGAATGACATAAGCTCCATCATACTTTGTTGGAGGGTAAGCATCATAGTTTCCGTTTTGCTGTGTGGCTGTTCTGGGGCCTGTTGAGCGCTTTGAGAGTTAGGCTGAATTGGAATTTCCCTTCCAGATCGTAGAGCATCGGCATAGGAGAAGCCGTTGGTGGTGTTTAGTGGACCGAATGAGGATCTCGCAGCTTTGGCGAAGAAGACGTCTGGCGTGGTTTTTGACGAAACGTACGCATTCTGTGGATTTTGGTTGCGCGTTGCGGTCGCTTGACGCATGCGACTCTTTAACTCC